GCAGACGTTCTACCAGGAAGACTCCTGTCACCTGTCTTTAAAATGCCTCGACTTACGTACCTGTTCTGCTGCTTTCAGGTGCTGACGTTTTGACGTCCCCCTCCTTCCTCCCCACCACCAGTTTGGTCCCCGCCTGGTTGTCCAGGGTGTGGTCTCTGTCCCTGCTGTCCCTAACTGTGAGGTTTCAGACGCTCCAAGACCTGGGCTGAGGACGGGGCCTATGCCAAAGACCTTTTAATACTTAAGAATTGTTATTCTTCAAAATCTTATCAAGGATTAAAATATTGCCCTGCCTCCTGAGTCTTTCTGGTAGAACAGTTATTCTCATATTAAGGAGAGAATGTTACAATTAATTTATTAATTATGCTAGCATTAACATTACAACTTAAACATGAATTAATTAGCGCTAAGCTATGCTCAAAACTAAGGTTTAATATACTCCAGCTGTGTATACTCCAGGTTTGATACACTCCAGCATCTGCAAGTCTCCAGATGCTGTCTTGGCATTAACAAACAATACTATAGAAGATATAAAAGCTATTTTGAGACGGTTTCAGGAAGCTGCATGCATTAACAGTTATAATACCTGCGAAATATACAGTCATAAAATCACCCATGTGCCCACTATGCATATCATTACATAGCAATGTGTTTATGCAGACATAAAGCGCTCTCTGCACACCTTTTAGCTTGCTGAATGGAAAGTGACTTAGTTATTTTAAATTAATATAATCAAATAGAACATATTTTGGTAACACTTTATAATAAGGGTACATGAACTGGCAGTAATTAAGGCATTTACTAATGAATAACTAATCAGAAAGTAATGAGTCATTAATCAGGAACAAATGAATAAGTCATATATTAACAACCACAAGAGTAAATTACTAACGCATGTACTAATGAATGAAGATGAAGGTAATAAAGGCTTTATTCAGTGCCTGAATTAATCAGGAATTCATGTGTTAATTAAGCATACAAAAAGAATGTTAGTACACATTGGCGAACTGCCAGAAGCTCTGTTAGTTTCATTCTATTCATGCAATTTATGATTACCTATGTCGTACTGCAATGTCATACTGTTACAACAGAAACATAAACTGTTGTATGTTTAATAAACTGTAAACTAGTTTATTTACTGAAAATAGGCATTTGATTTAATTAAAACTGTGAATTATCTTAATATATGCCACAGTTATTCTGAGAAATACCACCTTCAGAAAATGACAATGTGTTTCCCATTATACATCTATTATTCCTTTTAAAAATTTGCTATATCTAAATGTTTTATTAATGGAAACACAGCATTTTGCAATGTAACACTTCAACTGTTTCCACAGCTGGAAATTACTGCTATTTTTCTTCGCCAGTAAATGGCAATAATTGTGTTAAACGCTATATGTCAAGAGGCCATAGAGACTTGAGTGAATATCTCTAGTACAACGTTTAAGAGCAGCGAATGAAAATACTTGAAATAATAAAAAAAATCAATATTTATCTTTTTGTCTTTTTGCAATATTTCTCATTTTTCTTTCTTTTAAAGGTGAGTTATGCATATGCATAATGTATTATATACGTAATTTACATCGCAGATATAATATTTACACGTGGTATTGTTGTCTGAGTGTTGTGAGTGCTGGTATGTATGTTATCTGTGGTGAAACAGAACGGATTTGTAGGAACTATTATTTCTAAATTCGTTATAAAGTAGCTTAAATATTTGGTTTGGTGCTTAGTTATTTGCAATAAACCTTTTTGGATTTAATAGTAAGGTGTGATTGTAGTAGTAATATGTGGCGTCAGGCGCGTCTATTCTGTCTGGTTAAAATCACATGCTAATTTTATGCTGCTTGGTTCATTAGTTATTCCTCCTTTGACTGGGACTCTTATTATGAAGGGCTATGTGTGCGGTGCAGTGCTTCACAGGGCCTAGCAGTAAACAGACTGAGTCGAGACAGCGAGAGGGCGCGCTAACTGCCGAGCGCTAACCTAGCGCCATATTCTCCCCTTTCTTTTGTACTCCGTTCTGAGCTTTTCAGTAAAGCTGAGTCACAGACTCGATCTTCAGCTTGTCTGAGTTATTTAGAAACACCGCTGCAGTATGAATATCTTTGTGGCTTTAATTAGCTAGCAGTTCTATCCGTTTTACAGATGTTTGTGGAACTAAGTTACAGAACCAGTATGTATTGGTTTCTCTTCATTTTCCGTGTTACAGTGACGTATTCACGTGCTCTAGTTCTGTTTATTGTGTAGAAGTCATAAGATGATAATAAAATATGCTGTTTTATTCCTGTGAATTTCGTCAATGTTATGTTTTCATATGAGCCATATTGTAGTTAGCTAGTTACTTATCTTTCATCACTGTTCTTGAGAGGGCAAAAGAATGCCTGTCATTTTGGTAAGTAAAATGATTAACCCCTGCTATTTTATAAGCTCATGAACTCATCATGAAGGATCAGTATATAATCAGTAATAAAGTGTGACCGGTTCATCACTTTAATTTAGGGGGCACAAACATGAATTCATCATGAGTTATCAGTAATCACTGCTTTCTTTATAGTGAATTGAGAATTGACACTGCATAGTGTTGTATTTTTCTCACTCTGACACACCTCAACCAGCACAACAGGAGCTTGTAAATTAGCAATTGAGTTCAATCAGGTGTACTAGATCTGGGAAAGCACAAAAATGTGCATACAATTAAGGATTCTTATGACCCCAGGAGAAAGACACTCCAATAATTAACTCATTTCTGAGTTCAGTGGTAACTGTAGGCTAAACTATTCCCTCATGAGGCACTGTGCATCAATACAGTAGTTAAAACATGTCATATTATTAACATGAAAGATGAAGTAAAACTATGGCAACTGTCACAAATGAGGACTAGTTGCAAAACAATGTCAGTGTAAGCTTTTAATTTTACTGAACAGTCACTAGGTGGGTAGAAACAGACAAGGTAACATAAGAAATCAAAAACAATAAACTGAAGACCTGACAGATAGAAAGAGGCAAATACAAGGGCTGCTTACACAACATGATGAAGAAGAAGCACAAGATGATGAGAGGATGGAGCTATAAAAAAAAAAAAAACAGTTGACTTTGATAGGCATAATATTCCAGAGCACTGTCTGTCTTGTGACAACATTAATTAACACATGAATTCCTAATAAATTCAGGCACTGAATAAAAACTTTATTACCTTCATCTTCATTCATTAGTACATGCGTTAGTAATTTAGTCTTGTGGTTGTTAATATATGACTTATTCATTTGTTCCTGATTAATGAGTCATTACCTTCTGATTAGTTATTCATTAGTAAATGCCTTAATTACTGCCAGTTCATGTACCCTTATTATAAAGTGTTACCCATATTTTCTCTAACTCTGTTATCAGAACACTGTTGGCTCTCTGTGTGTGAAAACTCTTCACTGAGCTGCTAGCAAGCAAAGAAGAATGGAAGGGGGCGGGTAAGAGCCCTCTGCAGTCAAAACAATTCACACCTCTCCACAAAGACGGTCGTTCTGAGAAGACAGTCAGCAAAACTGCATCTTCCGTCATGCTCAAGCAATCATGTACGGCTCTGTACAACACTTTTATAAATGTTGACTTGTTCACTCACCTTTAAAATCAAAAATCTGTCAGCTTCCAGTTATATAAATCATACAGATTTCCATTTAAATATATTCCATCACACACTATTGAAGAAAAAAATGCATTGTTCAACTTAAAGTCCTTCAAAATAGGCAGTAATTGCATTTCATGGCTAATGTTAAAAGAGGTTCATAGCCTTTGTGAGTAGCTTTTGTTCAAGTAATGCATTTCTTGCTTTGTAAGTTGACGTTTTGCAGCTACTCATTCAAGAAAGATTTGAACTTAAAGTCTGGCTGAATATGGCATTACAGACTATTGTTCACAATGATTAGCTAATACCACATGAGAGTTACAAGCATGCAGCACCATTCTGGGCAAACATGGCTGTGTGTTTGCACTTATTTTAAAATGTACAATGAAACAGCACTGTGCAAACACTGTTTATCGCAGAAGTCAGCTGAAATTCAAATGTAATCTATGTAAATGTAACTGTACTTCAGTGAAAGAATCTTTGTACTTCAGCGAAAGTATCTGTTGTCTATTCATTCTTAAGTAACAGACAGGAAAGGTGCTGAATGAGAGTAGAGCTAGGTAGGATACTCTGTCCATGAAATGAAAAGGGCACATATCCTGTGTTTTTTCTTGCATTTTATTCTCTTCCCTGAGGTTCACTTGTGACATTTGTTTGGATTTATTCACCAAAGCATGATAATTAATCTTACATGACAATTTCCCAAACTCTATCTCATAGAATTGATCATGCTGTTTTTGTTACTGTGCCTTTAAAAGTGATATATGTAAATGAGCTCATTTCTATATTGGCTGCCCTGTATTGTGGCTGTATTATAGCGTCAGTCTAAATGGGCAGGGCTAAACTGCTGTATATAGGCTGAATAGGCGGATAAACGTAAATGTCTTGGTTCATTTAAAACAGGCTGTTTTTGGAGTTTAGTTCTTATTTCATATATGCACTGTATGTACTGGGGATGTCAATAGTATGTTTTGAAACCTCAGTGCTTACATACCACACCAAACTCCAAAAAAAGGGAAAATTTGGTTTCTGGATCCCTAAAAAGTCCACTTTCTTGGGGGAAAAAAGACCCACCACTTAACAAGTTACCTGTGATAAAGAATAACTCTTTGTTGGTGTGCATTAAAAGGTAAGAAAGAGTGCACCATGAGCTTAATCCTAACTACTTGGATGGGACAGTTCTACACAGAAAGATCTTGAGTCACTTGTCGCCCAAAGCCCAAATGGAGAGAGGGAGTGAGAGAGAGAGAGAGAGAGAGAGAGCGAGTGAGTGGGTGTGTGAGAGAGAGAGAGAGAGAGAGAGAGAGCGACATGTGCCTGGGTGCCTGGTTGGGTGTTGGACAGGAAAGGGGGGTGGAGGGCGGGACAGATTGGGGAGGGCAGGAACGTCCTGAGGGAACAAGGTGTCTTACCAGCACGGCAGCTCACTACTCACTCTTGAGTAAAAGCAAATTAGCTTATGCAAAGCACAAGCAAGATTTTCTGTTTTATTCTGATTTCATTTTAAGTGCATTATGGGAGAACGACAACAACTTCTGGAGCTGCATTGGAATACTAAATTACTAAAGCTGTAGGAAGTTTTGGGAAAAGTTCCATGAGGAGTTTCTCTAAGGATCTCAGGTACGTTTACTGTGAAGACACGCGTGTGTGCAATGACTTTCTAAGCTTTTGTGCCTATTTGCATTTGAATTACTTTGTTGTCTTGAATGTATTGTTTTAAATGTTTGTAGTTAATGGACTGACCTAAATAATATTGGTCTTACATACAACACCTTAATACATTTACATTTAAATGTCTCATGCCTCACTGTCATGAGAAATGGCTAACATTTCACTTTGTTCTGGCATTGCTTGGGGAGCGAAAGGTGCAACGAAGAAAGAGATTTTGAACTAAAATATAACATTTTTCAAAAAATTGCATAATTTCTAAAAATCTTCTCAAAACATTTTGAGTTTTCACAGCGATTTTAAATACGATGAGATGATACTCTCTTCAAATGTTTGAAAATGAATGTCTTATGAAAAGTGATCATTCAAATCAATGTCAGAGAATGCAGCAGTTAACCAGAAATTCAGACTTCATGTGAAGAAAGAATGCACTCAATCTGGCAGTGAAATCTGATTTATATGTAGGGTTGACATGACCTGATGTGCACATTACAGATGGGCCCTGAGATAACCTCATTGCCAACAGTTTAAACTAGCATTCTCTCTTGACCCTCTGATTTTAACCTCTCATCCAAAACCACACGTGAAGTATGTTTAAGCCATGTGGCCACCAACTCTGAAGAGACCTCTGGGTTCATTTGTACTGATACTCATCAAGTGACAGGAAGGTGAACATTGTAAAATGATCAAGAGCCAACAAAAAAGGAATTAAGCCATTTGCCCAAATTGTCCATTCTTTGGACCCTTCCTAGTCATTAGATCATTGTCTCCCTGTGTCAGTGGGTGGGACACAAGTAAGCTTACAGGAGGCGTATTTATAGATTATCATTAAATGGACAGGCAGTGGATTTAGTTGGAAACACAATGACAGTGCAAATGAAGCTATTTATCCAACATGCAATGCATAAGCTTTATCTATGCTTTCAGTATAAAAAATTAAACTGAATTTTTATTCTAGTCACAATCGTCTAGGCTTTGGTGAAAAACAATGTGTTTCCCAGAAACAAAGGCTACAGTTTTCACACTTCATGTTTATAGAACATTTCTAAACAAATGACAGACCGTTCAAGACAATATTGTCTAACAATTTGTAAACAATGTTCCTTTGCTGTTTATAACCAAATATCATTATGGTGTGGAGAGCTAGAATGACATACCAAGCATGACTGTTTTAGTAATTAGGTGATATTTGTATTGCACAAACCCACAAAAGTCATCTATGAAAGGCACATGAAGGCACAGTTACACTGACAACAGTTATGTGCTAATAGATTTTCTTCACTTCATTTAAATTGTATGTAATATAACTAGCTTGTTTTTAAGTGTATTTTGACACAATAGCATTGTTTTTTATTATTATTAGTGTTCACCTTAATTGCCTTCACTACAGCTAGGCCTTCGGTTTGGGCCATAATTGTCAAAACTCTGTTAATAACAATGAAAAAAACATTTCTATGAAGATAATGTCTGTATATAATTCTAGTTGCATTGTAAATCAATGATTGGTTTATTTTACTGTCAGTTCCTAATTGTGTTTGTGGTTAACCTGACACCTTAGACCCTCAGTTCCTTAGCTCCTGAACTACTAACTAATAGGAGTGCTTGCTTGGCTGATAATGTGGAGAAGAAAATCCAGATAGGACAATTCTCCCTTGGCTGCTTTAAGAATTTAACCACTTTGTTTCCAACCAAAGTGTAATGAAATAAGAGTAGTACTAGGATATGTTCAGAGTTTAAATACAACAAGCATGATGATCCTATTAAATTAAAAAGTCAGACTTTTTATTTCACAGAAATCATTATGTCTTGTCTGGAGGCTTACAAGGCCCTGAGAGTCTTCTGTTGTTTTACATAGCATTAGCATAGAAACAGAAGCAGCAAGCTTACCTACTGTAAATATTCCTTAATATGGCCCACTCTGTCCAAAAGTGAGAGATATGTAGGCATGTGCATACCTCAAGGCATAGTTCATGGTAAGAATGCTGACTCAGGGTGAGGTTTTGCTGCTTATATACAAATGGATAACATTACATGAATAGTAAGGAGCTGATCCAAGCTCTCACTTTTACACATTTGGGCCCTCATAGTGAAACGTGTGAAAGCCTCTGCTGCTGGTCTGAGCATGTGGCTACAGGTAGCTGATACTGTGGGCTGTGACTTGGAACAAGAACACATAACACATCCTATTACTAACAGACATGCTTACTCACTCGCTCTGCCACTTTGCAACTTGCATTTCCCCTGTGGGGTTCACAGCTTCACAAATTCAACCAGCTCTTTAGACTAACAACATGCCGTCTTCTAACTCGTATTCATTTTTTCATCTGAATCACATCTCCATAAATGTATGCAGTCACAGATGGCATAGGAGAAAGGACGCATAGCAAACCTACTGTTCAGTTCCTATCATGTTGAATAAGCAAAGTGACAGTAGTCACACACTGACCAAGCGGTTTTTTTATTGCAGGTAAAACCTGCCCTGACAGTTTTGAATAATGAGTCCAAAACAAGTTTACTACTTAGAATGGGGTCTAAAAGTCTGAGACCACACTGAAAATTGGGATTTTCTTTTATTATTAATTATTAACTATTTGTCTTTGTTATTCAAATTTTGAACATTTTAAATTAAAGTTATGACAAGCAAATGAAGATAAAGATTATAGGTCAGATTTTTGGGTCACTGTTCTTATTTACGGAAATGTGTGACTTTGACCTTGTTAAGGCCTTTGCATAAAATAGGCAGTTTTTTTTTCTTATTCTTCTTTTTTCCGTTAAAGCTTGGGTTCAGATGGTTCTCAGGTGGATTTGATTTATTCATCAGAAGCCTCTGTACAATCTTGTGTAAATCATGCCAGTTTAAGTGCACGTTGTTATTAAAGTAAAAGGGGGACTTTTCAAATACTAGAAAATCATGCAATTGCTGCAAATATTTCAAAGATTCAACTTTTTTACTATGTCTACACTCATTATACAGTTTGTAATGTGAAATTCTGTGTTAAATGACAAAAGAATGCAAAGTACTAGTCTCAGACTTTTGGACCTAAATATGCCTTTTAAGCTTCTGTACACTTTAACTTGGAAATAGTTAAAAAGACACAACTTCCTCTCTCTGTTCATCTCTTTCATACAGTGCAGTTCAAAAGTTTAAAACCTCTGTTTTCATGCGTATAAAATCAATTTTGTTCTAGATGCCTGTAAAAAATGATCCTAAAATGATGCTATTACTCTGCCTCGTAGATTTAAATTACAAACTGATGGACAGAGTTGTAGATGATTTTAAAATGATTGAGAAAGCTGTCTAAGATTAAGGATGAAGTTATAATTAAATTAAAACTCAGAATATATTGAAAAATCAGAAGTGGTGATTGAATTCACAAGGCAGATAACCTGTCAAGAAATTAATGCAAATACATAAAACAAATAGATGGTTTTTCAAAAAAAACTTGAACTAAAACATCTTTAACAACTTTCTGGTGTCTAGCATATAGCTTATCTAATGGAAAATAAGTGAACACATCCTCTACAGAGAACACACTTAAGTATGGCATTTTTGAGCACCATTTTCTACTTATTTGCTTTGAGTTAAACATATGTGCCTTTGGCACATTTTATTTTTCCCAATATGTTAAATTCAGCAAATAAGCAGTAACTGTACATTAAAATGTGTAGAAGTGTGTTTTCTGTAGAGGGCATAAATTAAATTATTTTCACTTAGAAAATCAACAAAACGCCATCTGACCATGGGTGCCCAAACTTTTGCGTATGACTGTTAGAACTGGTCCAAGACAAACTGAGAAGTACACACTGAACATGGGGGACGAGTATCAACTGATTTCCTTGGGTAATAAAAAAAAAAAAACAATAGGTATCTATACATAATGTTTTATAGTCCAGAAAAAAATGATTGTGTGAAAATGTATCACCTGTCTAAAAGAGCTCCAGGTTTCTTCACAAACTCAGACAATATAATACTGCTTTTGTCAAGGCATGTTAGAACAGGAGACCAAATACCTGACTGAGGGCTTTCACTTGGCAACAGAGACTATGTGGGTTTCTGACTGTGTGTGTGTGTGTGGTTTCAGTGATGTGAACTGCATTAGTCTGCATTAACCTATTCTTTGTAACAACATATTTACATATAAAAATGATTCATCATCGACCTGTGACATGACAAGCTCACTGATCCCACTCAGAAAGACATGCTGAGACACTCAACTCACATTTCTCTCTCTCTCTCTTTAGGTATGAGGGTCCGTGGGGAGCCAATAAGAATGGCCTTGACTGGCAGAGCTAAACTGCTCAGTGTTATAGCAGTCCTGCTGCACATAGCCAGATGTCAAGGGAGCCTGGAAAAGGATGGCTCTCCTCTGCGGTTCACCCATCACTTGTATAATGCCACCATTAATGAAAACTCTGCCCCCAGGACCTATGTGGAGAGCCCCGTTCGGATGGGCATTGTAGTTTCTGATTCTTTCTGGGACATCAAGTACAGAGTTGTCGCCGGCGATGATGATGGCCTTTTCAAAGCAGAGGAGGTAGCCGTGGGGGATTTCTGCTTCCTGAGGATAACAACCGGCAGCGGTAACTCACTCTCTCCCGTTCTGCTCAACCGAGAGGTACGGGATGCCTATACTCTGACTGTTGAAGCTACAGAGAGCACATACGAGTACCAGGCGAGAACAAAGGTATCGATCCAAGTGCTTGATACAAATGACCTGAAACCGCTCTTCTACCCTGCCTCCTACAACGTAGTGATCAGGGAGGACACTCCAGTGAAATCAAGTGTGGTGAGAGTGAGCGCGACGGACGCTGATATTGGCAGCAATGCTGAGTTTTATTACTCCTTCACCACTAGATCACATCCATTTGCTGTTGATCCTTTCACAGGCACCATCACGCTTGTCAAAAGGCTTAACGCCACTCAAAAAGAAAGGTACGACCTTACCATTTTGGCAGAGGATAGAACAAAGAAAATCTCTGGGGTGCAGAAGTTTGGAAACGTTGCTACGGTTGTTGTAAACGTCGAAAAGGTTGCTGAAAATTTTACTCTCATCGCACCCATCACAGCTGAGGCTCCTCAAACGGACACAGATAGAATAAGCGTGAATGTCAAGATAGAGCCCCAGGCAAAGGCAGGAGTGGTCTCTCTGAGTGTAGTTGCAGGAGATGCAGTGAAGGGTTTTGAGATTATTCCATCCGCTTTGCAGGGTAACGACTTTCAAGTGGTCTCAACAAAACGGATTAACTGGCCACAAAACCCATTTGGATTAAATATCTCCCTTCAAGCGAAGGACAGAAGTAACCCCCCTTTGCCAACACAAGTTAAGAACATCCATATTCCTTCTCCCCAATTTACATCATTGACATTTGAGCGAAAAATATATTATGCCACCCTCAGTGAATTTTCCCCTCCAAAAACCCATGTGCTGAAAGTGTCTGTACATCCCGGTTTACCAAATGTCACTTATCACATTAGAGGTAATGCAGATAGCCATAAATTCAAAATTAGCACAAAAACTGGCATTATTGTTACTTCGGAGTCTCTTGACTTTGAAAAGAAATCTCATTATGAGTTCGATGTCACTGTAAATCACGGCGAAGCTGAAGCCCATGTTATAGTCGATGTAACTGATGAGAATGACAATGCTCCTAGATTTATTAACCCTTCACACCAGGCCACTCTGCCAGAAAATATTCCTATAGGAACTAGCATTTTATCCATCTTGGCTATCGATGTGGACAAGGACAACAATGGCTTTGTGACATATGCCATTGCAAACACGGCTCCATTACCTTTTGTCATAGATCCACTGACTGGGGTAATTTCTACCTCAGAAGAGTTTGATTATGAACTAATGAAGAGGTGGTACCATCTTCGGATCTGGGCTTCTGACAGTGGTAGTCCTTTTAGCCGTGTGAGTGAATGTGCCATCACCATCACTATGACCAACATCAATGACAATGTTCCACTTTTTGAGAGAGTAGCATGCAATGCCACCATACCCCTAGGCTTTGCAGCAGGAGAGACCATTGTAGAGATGTCTGCAGTTGATCTGGATGAGCTGGAGCAAATTCGCTATGGAATACAGTCTGGAAATGAGGACAAATTATTTGCCATTGACCCTGTTTCCGGCATCATCACACTAGCACAGCCCATTCCCACAGACTTTTTAGAGACGGAAAGTCCTTCATATACCCTAAAAATAACAGCAACAGATGGCAAATATAGTGCCGACCCCACTACTGTCACTGTGTATGTCACGGACGAGGGCAAGGAAGCCACCACACACTGCCAAGAAACTGGAGTGTTCAGGCAGCTGACGGAGAAGCTTATTGAATCAATCAAGCCTGTGCTCTCTGCCCAAGAGGAAGAGTCTTTCTCTGATGTCCATATAATCAATCGTCACTCTCCAAAGTTTGCTCTTGGCATTCCAAGCTCCATTGATGTCAGGGAAGACTTTGCTCTCAACACATCTATACTACACTTTCAGGCCACTGATAATGACAGTGGCTTTAATGGAAAGCTTGTCTATGCAATTTCAAGCGGGAACGAGGACGGATGTTTCTCCATTGATATGAACACAGGAGACTTAAAAATTGTCTGTACATTAGACAGAGAAACCAAAGAATTCTACATTCTGAATGTAACAGTGTATGACTTGGGTGCTCCACAAATATCTGCATGGAAATTTCTTGCTGTCAATATCTTGGATGTAAATGACAATCCACCATTATTTTCTCAACCAAGATATGTTCTGAACATACCTGAAAACACAGAGACTGACAAGAGCATCTTCAAAGTACATGCAGTGGATTTTGACCTTGACGACAATGGAGTCATCAAATATTCCTTATTAACATTCACTGACCTATTTAAAGTTGATGAAACCTCTGGGGATGTGAGGGTGATTGGGCATTTGGACAGAGAGACCTTTCCCAGATATGACTTAAAGATTGAGGCCAGGGATCAAGCGAAAGAGGACCCTCAGCTTATCTCAACTGCAGATCTAGTGGTTGTCTTGGAAGATATCAATGATAATCCTCCTAAGTTTGTACCCAAAGTCTACAGCATTAAAGTCCCTGAAGATGCCCCTCCAGGCACAGTGCTGTTATGGGTTGAGAGCTATGACCTGGATTTGGGGAGTGGAGGAGTCATAAGCTATAATCTGAAGAACAGTGAGGCAGGCACCTTTTTCCTGGACACAAGTACAGGGCTACTAACTCTTGAGAAGGAACTGGACTTTGAAAGAAAGCAGTTGTATAATCTAACGGTTCGAGCTGTGGACCATGGAAACCCCAGGTCCTTATCATCCTCATGTTTTGTAGAGGTTCAAGTGTTGGACGTCAATGAAAATTTGAATAAGCCAGTTTTCAGCTCGTTTGTACACAGTGCTCCAGTTCTGGAAGATGCCAAAATAGGCACTTCAGTTCTGACTCTCACAGCTGTGGATAAAGATTTGGGGAGAGACGGAGTTGTCAGATACCACATTCATGATGGGACAGGACTTGGAGTCTTTGTCATTGATGAAGAAACAGGTAAGCCTGATATGCTATTTGCTGTTCTGAACCTGCTCCTGTTCAGTTTCTTGTTTCACTGCATACAGTGCAGGTTTATAGGTCTTTAAATCCATACTAGTCTCTAACAAGTTAAAAGGATATACTATGCTCGAAAGATGTTTCAGTTGATATATGCCACATCGTCAATGTTATTCTATAAGTTACAGTGTAGTATAAGCTGAAACTGAACCTGGTCAACTTCAAGTACTACTTATACAGAACTGTGGAAAATCAGAGATCACCCTTTTGTATTTCAAGTCAAATTGGTCATTAAGTATGATATTCATGAGGAGATGTGTTGCTGTCCATCCTTCCACTGTGAGAAGACAACTCAGTGCTAGGGGTCTGAAAGGATGTGAAGCATGATGTTACTGAGATAAAACAAATAAGCTGCAGTTGTTCTCAAAACAATGGAGTGACCCTTCCAGGGTCCAGACATCAACATCATTTAATGTGTTTGGAATTATTTGGATTGTAAGAAGCAGAAAATGCAACCAACTTCTAAGATTGAACTTTGGAGGTGTAGAAAGATATCCCTGCAGATTTCTTTTAAAAACTCGAAGCAAGCATCCAGTCCTTTTTAGATAAAACAAACACTCAACAGACTCTCAGTAACGTCAAAAACATATGAGGGTTAGGATTAGGTTCTGAGTTGAAGTTAAGGTTAGGGTTAGGATTAGGGCCAAGGTTAGGGTTAGGTTTTGGGTAATGGAAGTAACATATTAACAATACATCTACTTAATGTAAGTAATGTATAAACAGTACATCTTCAAGATACTTACTTCAATGTATTTCGATGCTGCACTGCTGCTACGTCACTGATATGTTGTTGATGTGTTACTAATGACTGTTAGGAGTTTTTAATCATCTACAAAGGACCACTTCAAATAGTGTTACTACAAAAATATTATATTTAGTTGTTGAGGCTTCTCTGTAACTTTCTGTTAAATATATTGGCACAGTCCAAAAAAGTTTTAATATCTCCATTTTTTCCAATTTTTATTTTTTGAAATCAATTGAGCATAGCAGCTGTCCTTTACATTGAGTAAAAATTTCGTAATTAATAAGCCAACAGAAATGCTCCAGAATTGCTTGGAATAAAATCTCTTTACATTAATTTACATTAAAAGTTAATTATGTTTTTGTTCTCTTTTTTTTTGACAGCGACCATATGTTTTCTGCTTTCTTCCTGATGCTGAGAAATGAATAACTTATTCTTAATGGCTGTTTAGACCAGTAATTGAATAAATAAATAAAGGGTGGTCTCTGGACTTCCAGTTCCATATGTACATCATGTAAATGTTTGTAGTTATTAGTTGGATTTTTTTCAGAAATTTAAGAGAATAATTTTACCTAAATAAGCAGAAATTATGCACTAATTCTTGCATAATTAGTAACGCATGCATACTACAGACTGCATTAATTAGCGTATGTTTTGCAAAATAGTGCTTCAAAATGTGAATATCAAATTATAGGTATAGTATATTTACACAGTAAATTTGTTGCCATACATTTATGAATCTTTATGATCTGTCACATGGTGTATTTCAATAGCTGAAAACTGTATGATTCTCTGTTGCAGGAGTGATCCGGACAGCAGACACTCTGGACAGGGAGGCTGTACTGCACTACTGGCTGACTGTGTATGCCACTGATCTGGGCACTATACCCCTGGTGTCCTGGACTGAAGTGTACATTGAAGTTTTGGATATTAATGACAATCCTCCTGAGCTGTCCCAGCCTATCTACTTTGCTTCAGTCCATGAAAATTTGCCCAAAGACAAATCTGTGTTGAAAGTGGCCGCCACAGATGTGGACAAGTCTTCAGAGGGAAAGGTGACGTTCCAGATCCTGGATTCTCAGCGCACATATTTCACCATCGACTCAAAGACAGGTAAACAACTCTCATTAAGGGTCTTTCTTTGTCAATCACTTTTCTTTCTTTTCTTTTTTTTTGTTGATGTGGTAAAAAAAAAAAACCCTCATAAGCAGTTAACAATACTGAAATAACATGCACAGTATGACAGTTCAATCAAACAAGTTCAGGCACAAACTAGGTGTAACCAAGGTGTGCTGCAAAAGGAACTTGGTGAATGGACTAAATAATTACTGTACACAAAACTCTATCATTCTAAGAAATTTTTTCAGCAGGGGGGAAAGGTTTATTACAAGCCCCCTGGAGCGCAAAAAGTCCCAAAACCACTGTACATCTGACCTTTGACAGCAATGCGGATTAGCCTTTGAAGCGCCCCTAGGAAAATTACAACAGCATTAACCTGCATCACAAGCTCGTACTTGTCCATTCACGGCTTCTTATTACTTTGTTGCTTCATCACCTCCACCCCAGGCTAACAGGGACGACACAAAACTAACTCCCACCCTGCACAGGGAACATTACAAGTCTACTGCACACAAAGGTGTATCTCTGAAACACAACCTACAGGTCTTGTAAGAGCGGCCTTTTGTTGGTATTTTAGGGCCATCTGCATTGTTGTGCAGATACTGCACAGAATGCTAAAGATTGTCATTGTAACGCGAATGTATTCAGATGTAATTGTGAAAATTAACTGGTGTAAGGCTAAAATAATAAAAAGGAAAAAGGAGTGCTTTGGAAAACACTGCTCACAACGTAAATATGAAGTGTCCAAAGCCAAATCAACAGCATAAAACAGCAAGACACATTTCAGTGATCTCTTGTTCTGATCTATTCCTCAGGCGAATGGGCCTGGAGATCGCTGTATCAGGGCCTGAGTGACTCATTTCTACAGAGAACAGTGTGACTAAGCTAACCGCCTTAACGGCTTAGTATAGCAAAACTGTCTCATTTAGGGTAAGATCTAGGGTGGACTGGGACGCTTCTATACATTTTTTTCACAACTTAGTCATAGCAACGTATTTTAACTTTAATAAGAAGGAAGTATCTCCTGTCTATTTTTTTATACTAAAGCAATAAGCTGGTTGAGGCAGTGCATTAGTGTAATTAGTGAGATACGATGCCTAAAACCCCCTTACCTGGAATAAAATCACTGTAACAGCCTCAACCGGCTTATTGATTTTATAAAATGGCAACAAAATAAATTATTACAAAATATGCATTTTTAAAAAATAAATACTATATTTTCAATAAATGATTTAAATGTGTTTAGAGCAATTACGGACCGCTGAACTAGGACCAAACCTTTCAGTCGCCCACCACTGCATATGCAGTTATTAACCTTTTATACATTTTTGTTACATAATAATGAAAATGTCACAGTATAGCAGCATTTAATGCACAAACATTCGCCTTATAAACAGTATTCTTGTGCACCAAATTACCACCACAAAAACAATGCTAATTTCCCCTTACAAAAAACACATACATTTCACATTTGAATAATCACATGGTTTTTAGACACGTTATTTTTAACATACGTGTGAGTAAACATTTCAGGATCCACTAGTGCCTCAGTACAACACATTTGTTTTCCCATACTGTGTTTAATACTAACTTACTTATAGTAGACCTAACCAAAAACATGGACATTTGAAGTTTTGCAGTTTTACAGTAGATACTTCAGTAACGTTAAATTCTTCAATTCAAAGGCTAACACTAAATAATGGAGGGGCGGTTTCACCTGTTAGCTAGCATTTAGCCTAACTTAGTTTTTAAGAAAAGAAGTTGTCAGCCCCTCAGTTCAAACAATATTCGGAACTTACATAATGTTAAATACATTTGGGGCTGGTTTCCAAGACTAGACAGCATTTTCAAGCTCTGGACGACACGTCATTCTGAATGAAGATTATCCGTTGAATAGTCCATATAAGGACACCACAGTCCATTCACAACATAGTGTTTTTGTTTTAATTACTGGACCATAAGACATAGGAGCGCCTATATCAAAGATCATTATTTGCAATGGCTTTGAACGTGACTCCATCAGATTTTACGGCTGGTGTTCTGATGAATTTTGCTACCCTGTCGAAATGTCCTACCATACTGCACGTTTTTAAGTAGCGCTCTACATAAAACTGTAGGTAGGAAATTTTGATCCTAAATTACCCTAGCAGAAAATGCTACCAGCACTTGAAATCTATAGGTAGGATAATTTGATAGCTTAAATCTCTTTATCAGAAAACGTAACCAGCATTAAAAGAATAAGTAGGATATTTCGATCACGTAAATCTCCTTATCATGTAGGTAAGTAATAATATTAAGCTGAGTCTGTACTGAATTAACATTAAGAACACAACACACCGTTCGAAACATTGTTACTACACTATAGTAATGATCTGCGCATGCTCAGTAGGACCACTCGATGAGTAGGACAAATTGTTAGAACACCGGTTTCTGTTTTAGCCAACAACTCCGATTTAGCTCCTTTCTGCATTCCTGAAGCCTCTTATGGCGTTACGAGGTACTAAACGTCCACGTCCAGATGGATGTTAATGCTTAAACCACACTTTCTAAAACTGCTCTAACAGGGGTCACCTGCCTAAATAGAGAGTGCAGTAAAAGCCCAGCAGAGTTTGTTTTGAGTGCAGTAAATGCAGCTGGGACCTCACGGCTATCTGCTAGCCTAATTTGCAAAAAAAGAGACATGTTAATTGCCCGGGTAGTAAACTACCGACTGCATATGATGTATGTTCTTAGCCAGAAATCTGTCAAAAATAAACTCCGAGCTCACTCAACATACATCTTCATGCTCGGTTGTAAAAAGCTCTCTTGCAAGAAACAAAAAAGTCATGCTAATTTAGCATGCGGTGTTTGTTGGCATATCTCGCCCTCTCAGCCACTGCAGCTCTCAAAGCCAAGCCTACAGAGCCTAGCCGCTGTCACATTCTTGGCCGCTGGGAAAGTGAGACTTTTATGTCTTTTGACAACTGCAAAAACCGCAGAACTGTTGACCAGGTCATAATGGAGGGGGAAAAGAAAAACTTTGTCCAAGAGGTTGACCCAGTGTAAACAGAGGAGCTGTATAAACACGACTAAGAAAGCGAAGCTGTGGGAAGCGAGAGCGAAATGGTCCGCCTGAGGTACACAGACAGGTGTGCCAAGCCTTGTGCCATTGATTAGCTTGTCTGTGTCTGTTTGCTTAGGTGTGATCAGCACCGTCGCTGAGCTGGACCGGGAACAAAAACCAGAGCACATTATTGAGGTGAGCTCACCTGCTAGTTCTCATATATTAGGTCAGGAAGCACGTGTCTGACCCCTTTTTTTCTTACTGTTCACTGCTTTTGTATTAGTATTTGTATTTCTAGATGCAATGTGTGGTGCCTTTTCTATTAATTCATCACTGTCACTGTATGGGAATCTGAAACCAGCTGGATATAGCAGTGGCATTTGTAAATTGCTCTTTTGGCCTTGTTGAAATCTACTGACAAAAACTATAAATAATACTGGTGCTGGAAAAACATTTATCTTTTGATGCCACAGGTTTTCCAAAGTCTGTGAATCACTGAATTCATCTATGTATTACACATATTCACTTTGCTTTGCTGAAACAGAACTCCTACAACGTAGCGTTACTCCTTTCTTCTTTGCACAGGTGATTGCATCTGATAACGGAGCTCCCCCTCTGCGCTCCACTGCCACGGTGGTCATTAAGGTCCTGGATGAGAACGATAACAGCCCTCAATTCAGCCACAAGCTCTTCCAAGTCAAGCTGCCTGAGCGCCAGAGCACGGCCCTGCCCCAGCAGGTCTACAGGATGGTTGCCCGCGATGATGACGAAGGGCCCAACGGCATGATCACCTACAGCCTGGAGAACAGCATGGAGGGGCAGTTTGATATCGACCCCACAACAGGGGTGGTCACCGCCAGGGGAGAGTTTGGACGAGGCAATTACAGCATCCTCACGGTAAAAAAATCACAAATAGTTTGCTGTTCACACTGTCTCTATGTTTTATTTAAACCATCATGTTAGGAGTGAGCAATATGATTATATGGTACTGTTATCATGAAATTATATCACAGTGCTTTTGTAAGTATATCACTGGTGTTGGTCAGTTGTTCTAGAAAGGGGTGGGAAACTCCTGTCCTGAAGAGCCAGATTCCTGCACAGTTTGATGATTTTCTTTCTCAAACACTCAACACAGCAGTCGCTTACTAGGTTTGGTTGTTGCTTCAGAGGAGGGACATCAGCAGGCTGTACTAGACGAAACAATCAGATGTAACTTAGAAGACTTGTCTTAATCTGAATTGAAGAGAGACTGTATACAACAGCAATCAGTGTATAGTAACTGCACAAACTACATTATGCAGTGTCTTCATTTATTAATTTATTTTTTATAATTTTATGATTTTGTCCTGTTCCTTCTTGAATACTACATTTTGTCTAATGTTGAATAAAAATTAAATGTGCTCTTAGATTTTCCATAGCCTTTTGAAAATAAGGCAGTTCTGTTTGGTTGGTCCGTTCCAACTTGTTTGCAAACTTCAGAAAAACTAAATGTCATAATGCCTGTTATCAAGTAATGTGATGTTGTATTTTTGCCACATTGCCCATGCTTACCTCACAGCCTGCCTTTAAGTTGGCAGAAATAACAGTCGAATGCTTGCAATGAATAATTTAAAATGAAACCATGTTTTTTTCTGAAAAATAGGTCTGAAAAATTCTGAAAAAGCTCACACAACTCTTTGCTTTTCACATGTCATAGATAAAAGCCACAGACCATGGCAGTCCTGCGAGAATGTCCAAGTCTCGTCTGGATGTAGAATGGCTGCCTCAGCCGGAGCCCAGTTCTGTGCCGCTGGCCTTCGACGAGGCACACTTCACCTTTGCTGTCATGGAGACCGACCCAGTCGCTGACATAGTGGGTCTCATCAGCACAGAGATCACTCCCAGCCCCCTCTGGTTCGACATTGTAGGTGAGTACAGCGCTGTTGTTCTGCCTTTCTCTCTGCTTCAGTAACTGTACACAAGACAAGCTGGCGCAAACACGATCCAGTGTTTTTTGAAGATAATCCCACTTCAGCAGGCTCTGCCAGCACTGGCAAAACAAAAACAAAGGACAGAGCTTTTCGAGCATGTATTTCTTTCGGAAAAACAAAGAGTAGTGTTTTTTGAGGATTACAGTTATCAGTTTTGTGTGTTTTTTATATTGTGGAAAAAGCAGTGATTGCTCTACAAGTTCATGCTAAAATAAATTTTCCAACTAATCAAAGCATGTAGAAGTGATTAGAGATGTGTCTACTCAATTATGTTTTCTCATACTTGGTTTGAGTATGCTGATATCTGCTTTAAGTGGATTAAGGCCTTGACTAAACAATGGGTTTTTGTTTATGTTAAGCTTCATATGAAGCACCACTGGCGCTATTTTGTTGAGCGGTTAACTGCAGCTTCTTACCCCGTGATCAAATCTGAGCCAAAAGGCAGATCTCCAACTGCTCCACATTTCCTCAGATGACAGGCCAGGGTCTCCTACTCTCTCCTCTCCTCCATCAGTGGCTAAGCATGCAGAGTTGTCTCTCAGTCTCACATGCAGGAAAGGGCTCGTCTTGACCTTCATGCCGCAACTTGAGTTCTTGGCTCAGCACTAGCCGCCTACAACTAGTATAGAAATGAGCTTCAATGGAAATGAGTCAGGAATATTGTCATCAGCCAGATACAGGGGCAAATTTCCCCTTGTTGACTGTAGAAGACCCATTTTTGTACCTACATGTAGTAGTGGGCTGTAATACTCTTTTCGATTATGAAAGTGTGCTGTATTACTCTTTTCTCTGAGGAAACACTGGCAGCACTGTCATTGAGAAATAACACATTGCACATGTGGAAAGATTCATTTTTCTTCAGACTGCTAGTGATTGTGATAGCAGTATTTTTTATTATATATTTTATATATCAGATATTTATATTTTTTGTATCATTTATGTATAATATATTTATGTATAACATTATTATTATTACTATTATTATTATGTAATTAATAGGAAAACATGTTCTTAAAGAGGAGTTCCCCTGATTTTTCAAAATTTCTACATTATTAAGTTATTGTATTGTATTGATGTAAACAAAGTCATTCAGAGTGGTTTGATGTGTAATGGTTCATTGTAGAGCGGCTCTGATTTCTTTACAATGGTGGTGATGGGGACTATGGGTTGTGATATCTACAATGCATACAGACATTTTATGTTCATGCAAAGTCAATGAACCCACACATAGATATGGAAAAAATATAATATCCTGATATTTCCAGATATTTTCACGATACATTATATGTCACAGTGTTCTGACATCTGATAAGTTGAAACAGACACAAAAAGAAGCAGTGGTGCCACATTTTAAAAGTATTATAAAAAAATATTAATATAAATGATTTTACACATAAAAATAATTTGTGACATATTATGATGGAATTTATCACAATCGATAATGGTAAATATTGGCATATTTCCAAGCCCTACCTACACGTGCCTTCTTAGTTTTTATTTGCAGTGTTAATTACTTGGTAAATAATTCTTACTTACATACCACTCTGAATGATTTTGTTTACTAAATTATGCAAAAATCAGAGAGACTTCTCTTTAATCTAATGATATTTTATTAATTTTATTATATATCAGTTTGTTTTTGTTGGTCTTTCTTATGAAATGTTTACACAGTTTAATAGAGAGCCAGTGTTTAAAAAAAAAAATGATAAGGTTTTGATATGACAGTGCAAGTAAACATACAGTTTTCAGAAGTCTGTAGACATTGGCTTATTCCAACATTTCTTCCCTACTGTTCTCCTCAGAATTTACACTAAATGTTTGAATATTGCTGTGAGGCTCCCCAAAGGATTGGATGGAGATCCATCACTCCAGAGAACGCAGTTCCACTGCTTCACAGCTTTCTACCCTGATACCTGGCTTTGGGCATTCCATTCTATTGCTAGTACTTTTCTACAGAGATCATACAAGCTGTAAACAGTGGGTGCACCTTAAAGTAGCTGAATTCAATAATTTGGATGCATATGGACAAACCTAAACATATAATCTTCTCCTGCGTGTCCTCAAACCAAGTCGTTCACGTTCACAGTGCTGTGAATATGAATCTTAACGTGTAGCTCACATAATATGTAGTCTAGTACCATTTGGTGTCCTTACCAACACCTTGAAGCCAAATGCTGTTCTCTTAACAATCACTGTGTGCTAGTATTGCGGAATGCCTCAAAATCGTCTTGGATGGTTAGAAAAAAGAATTAGATAAAGTCATATATAAATACTTTAAACAGTTTACCAAAACATTGATTTGACACAGTCGTGTGCTACACAATATTCTTCATAAAGTATGTGCCTTCACTGTGGCAGCTGAGCTTCAGCCCCCATCTAGGGAAACCAATTATGAATCGATTAGAAACAGACAGCTTCAAACGCAAGCTTTCTTCAGAAATTCTCTCAAAGCTTCCATCAGGATCAGTCAGCTCAGCATTAGTCACAGATGGTCATGGCCATTGGATCAGTAAAAAGGGATGTTGCTCTACATAAATTTGTACAGAGGCTTCTTAATTGATAAATTTGGGGAGGATGAATAGATGGCTGAGAAAGAAGTTGAAGGCCCACTCAGTAGCTTTATCCTCTCTAAAACAAGACCAGTGAGTCTTCAAAAGGTGGATTTCTTAATAAACACCATCTGCCAAAGCAGGCATGAGTTTACCCCTACTGATTCAGACGTCTGTTCTTAGCGTGCGCATGCCAAATATTTCCCCTGAAACAATTGTTTTTGTTCTCGTATACTCTACAACTCTAGAGGGACATTTTCAAATGACCTTGTTTTTTTTTTAAACACACTAGACGGAGCACGAAAGCAGAAGACTTGTATCACTCACACTAAAAGTCATGTTCTTTGAAAAGTTGGATGAGTGAATACCCCATTCTCACGCATGCAGATGAAATGTGCGTTGTTAGTTTTCAGCAGGGCTTAGTCACATAGGGTTGTGGTCTACTATGCTGGAGTGGCCATCAATTAAAAGGGCTGGTTCTGAACAAAGAGTAAGCTTATCTCTCATTTAAACAGGTTTTGTTTTCTTTGCTTCAGATTGCATGACACCTGTGCCTTATTTTCACAATATTTTGTGCTATTCACTCATCCGTTAATGCACGCAGGTCCATGCAGGGCTTTGCTGAGAGACACTGACAGTTGCCCTTTAGATGCCCTGGGACTCCTCCAAGGGGCCCAGTTCTAACCAGCAGCTTGTGTCATGTCTTAGGTGGTGATGAGGACCAGGATTTTTACATAGAGAAGAACATGGGGAGTATTGCGATAGCCAGGCATCTGGATGCAGCCAGAAGATCTAATTACAACCTCACCATCAGCGTCACAGACGGCTCTCAAACCATTACTACTCAGGTAAAGGGCACGTGTAGCAGATGCTGTACCATGACATGTTAATGACTGACTGAACATATTATCCCCCAAAACAGAGTGCAGACAGAGTTCAATACGACAGGCCATGATTTCTTCTGCCTCAGGCAACAGATATTTGGTCTGCAGTGAACTTAGAGAAATATTTTTCTCTGCTTGTCAGTGTAGGTGAATCAGTGTCTGAAATACATCTGAAGAATTTACATTTGAATGCCATGGTTAACACATGATAATTTGGGGAAAAATTGAGTTTAGTATCATGCAGACTGCATGCTTATATCATCACACACAGGCCTTAAAGTAGGTTGAGTTGTTAAGTAATCTCAGAAAGACTTGATTATGTGGTTTCTGACACTGTAAGACATACTATTATCTGTAAAATGGGCAAAATTATGGACAAAATTCAATGAAAGGTGAAATTCCTCCACTGAGAGATGAAAGCCTCCACTGAAAGCTAGATTAGCCCCATATTTCCAATTAAAAACTATAGACATATTTTAGGCTCCAAACGTGTCTTGACTGATCTACTACATTTGTAGTAATTTTGCATTTTGTCAAGGTATAGCTTTAATATTTATCAAAATTTTCAGCGTTCTTTAAACAAGTCTGCAAGCTTGGCATTCTTTTCTCTTGTTTCTCAGGCATACATTCGAGTGCTGGACATGAATGAGCATCGACCCATGTTTCTGAAGAATCAGTATGAGGTCAGAGTTCCAGAGGACACAGATCCATGGAAGGAGATCCTACAGATCAGTGCCCAGGACGCAGATGCCAACAGCAGGCTGGTCTACTCCATCCACAGCAGTCTCCGTCCAGACAGCCTCAAGCATTTCCATCTGGATCCAAAGACTGGAGTGCTTGTCCTGACTGAGGAGCTGGACTATGAGACCATCTCCACACATACTCTTATTGTGATGGTAAAAGACAATTCATGACACCATAGATATTAAAACTGAGCAACAAGGATAAATACAGTGAGAAATTTAAATTTAGTGATTAGTTATTGGATGGTAATTAATCGGTCTTTGCTTTAACTTTTATCCAAACCCACAATCAGTTTAGACAATGATTTGCTTTTATACCAAGGAAATTGATCATAGATTAAAGAGCAAACAAAAGTAATGACCTATAATTTCCATGCAGGTTCGTGATCAAGAGATTCCAGTGAAGAGGAACTTTGTAAAAGCTGTGGTGCATGTGGAGGACTGTAATGACTACACACCAACCTTCATGAGCACTCATTATGAAGGAAGCATCAGCAACCTGGCTCCAACTGGTACTGAAGTGCTTCGAGTCAAAGCTTTGGACAAGGACACAGGCAGCAACTCTGAGATTGTCTACTCCATTCACTCAGGTAAGACCATAAAAGCTGTCAAAATTCATTTGATTTTCTCTTCTTTTATCACATCAGCAACTGTTGTAAAGCAAGAGTATCAAGCCACAGGTACAGAGTGCTTTTAATTGCTTTTCTCCAGTATATTATTATTTAATCCTGTGTAGCAGATGCTTATTACTATCTCCAAAACAGTAACTTCATGGGAGACTGAAGAAATGTTCTTAATGTGGCTTAAATCTTTTTTCCAGCAGGGAACATGGATGGAGCTTTTGATGTTGATCAGGACACAGGAAGCATCCGTGTGATGAAGTCATTAGACAGACTCTCCCAGGAGCAGTATCACCTTACAGTGAAGGCCACCGACCAGGGCTTCCCCCAGCGCAGTGACCTTTGCCCTGTCAATATCCATGTGAAGCTGTCTGAGCTCACAGCTCCAAAGTTCACCCAGGATGAGTACTTCACTGAAATAAGTGAGGCTAGTCCTCTAGGCGCTCCAGTGCTCTCTGTCTCAGCCAGCTGTCCATCTCCTGTGAATTACAGGATCAAAGATGGTGACCCTAATGGGACTTTCCACATCAATTCCAACTCCGGGCTGCTATCTGTCCAAAAAGCTCTCAATTTTGAAGAGTGCCTCTCTTACCGCCTGCAAATAAGAGCTACAAATACAGCTGGGGTCTCGTCAGATGCTGTTGTCTATGTGTATGTCATAGACGAAAATGACAATGCCCCTGGTTTCCTTCAGGACAGCTACTATGGTCAAATCAGTGAGTCTGCACCTATGAACAGCATGGTAATGGGGGAGAACAACACCCCACTGGTGATCAAGGCCTCAGATGCTGACAAGGACTTGAACGCTCTGCTAATCTTCCAAATCCAAGAGCCAGAGGCAAAGAAAATGTTCAAAATAGATCCGAGTATGGGCACCATCTCTCTGATATCTGTGCTTGACTTTGAGACTACTCCAGAGTTTGTCTTCAGGGTTCAAGTGCAGGACTCTGGGGAGCCTTTTCTAAGCTCTGCCAAACCATGCAAAGTCACCATTCGTGTCCTAGATTTTAATGACTGCTCTCCTAAATTTACACTACCTGTGTTTACTGCTTCCATCACAACTCCTGTTTTCAAAGACATGAAAGTCGTCCAAGTATTGGCTCATGATGCAGATTCATCAGTCTTGTACAGTATTGCAGAGAGTAATCACCAGAATGTGTTTAATATAGACCAGTTGACTGGTGAGATTTCAGTCAGTGATGTGTCTGACTTACAGTCCTATTATGAGCTCAAAGTTGAAGCCTCGGATGGCTTGTACAAAGACACTGCCTTAGTGAAAGTTAATGTCACTAAGGTCAAAACAACTAGTCTGAAGTTTGAGGAGAGGATGTATATAGGCACTGTACTTGAAAACACTACATCTGTAAAAACTTTAACTGTCCTAAGAGCCACAGGTAGCTACCTCAACGAACCCCTGATTTACACTGTTCTGAACCCAGGAGGCAAGTTTTCGGTGGTGCAGTCATCTGGAGTGCTGCAGACCACTGGCGTTCCATTTGACCGCGAGGAGCAGGATGAGTATAATGTGGCTGTGGAGGTCAGAGACATGAGAACTCCACCACGTATAGCCGTAACTTATGTCAAGGTCTTTGTAGATGATATCAATGACAATGCACCCATCATATCAAACCTTCCGCATACTCTGATGATATCTGAGGAGACTGAACCAGGGGATGTTCTCTTCCAAGTGCTGGCAACTGATGATGACACTGGTGAAAATGGATCTATAATTTACACACTAGAGGACCATTTCAATCTCTTCAGGATTGATCCCTATCTTGGGGATGTGTCCCTTCAACGACCCCTAGACTTTGAATCATTGAATAAGTATGTGCTTACTGTGCGGGCCTCTGATGAAGGTGAACCTAGTCTGTCAGATTTTGGGGAGCTGTACATCCAAGTGCAAAACCGTTCTCACCCTATATTTCAAAGTTTGTTTTACCCTTTGAGACTACCTGAAAACATTGCTCCCTCCACAACTATCTTGCATGTGCAAGCAAGAAATCCAGAGGGCTATCGCCTTATCTACAATCTTGTGGAAGATAATGCCTCAAATTTTTTTCACATTGACTTCAAAACAGGAATGTTGAGTGTCACTGACTTTCTAGACTATGAGACACAGGCAAAGCACCTATTGACTGTTCGGGCCACAGACTCTGTGACTGGTTCTTTTACAGAGGCCAAAGTAGAGATAGATGTTGAAGATGTCAATGATAATGCTCCTGTATTTGGGAACCTTACTTACACAGCAGAATTGTTAGAAGGTCTTCCAGTAGGCACATCTGTAATACAGGTTTCAGCATTTGACAGAGACTCAGGAAGAAATAAAGATGTAACCTACCAAATAGTTGACACAGGGAAAAATGAAACAGAATTTTTCAAAATGGATCCACTGAGTGGTCTTTTAGTAACATTGCAGGTCTTGGATTATGAGACCATACAGCAGTTCCACCTGAAAATCAAAGTCACAGATAATGGTACACAACCTCTCAGTGGTGAAGCTTATGTTATTGTGAACATTACAGATGTCAACGACAACCCTCCTGACTTCAGTGAGTCACATTATCGAGCCTCTCTGGACGAAATGGCGTCTTGTGGTCACATAGTCATCAAAATCCAGGCTTCAGATCCTGATAGCAAGGACAGTCTCCAGTACAAGATTCTTTCAGGGAATGAAGGGAGATACTTTGCTATCAATGAATCCTCTGGTCTTATCTCATTCTCCAATGTTTGCAAGAGAAATCTGGATCCATTTTACAACCTTACAGTCGCTGTATCAGACGGCGTGTTCCAAAAGACTGCTCCTGTAAACATTGACATGACCAGCAGCAACAGACATAGCCCTTATTTTAACCAGGATATTTATGAAGCCGAATTAGCTGAGAATGCAGAGTCAGGAACACGTGTGATTCGCCTAGCTGCGATTGATCCTGACGATGGACCATATGGCAGTGTGGACTACACCATTATCAACAAGCTTGCAGATGAAAAATTCTCCATTGACAGTGAAGGACAAATTGTAACTGCTCAGCCTTTGGACAGAGAGAATCCCTCACAAAGAGTGATTGCCATTAAGGTCATGGCTAAAGATGGTGGTGGCAGAGTAGCTTTTTGCACTGTGAAGATCATTCTTACAGATGAGAATGACAATGCCCCTCAGTTTAAAGCATCTCAGTACCACGTCTCCATTCAGTCTACTATAAATAAAGGTTCCCCAGTTATTCAAATAATGGCATACGATGCTGATGACGGCAAGAACGCGGATGTCACCTATGCAGTTGATGAAGCTGAGGAAGTGACAGAGGAGGTGATTGAAATTAATCCGTTTACAGGTGTGGTCAGTGTCAAAGAGAGCCTGGTTGGAATGGAGAACAAAATCTTTAATTTTAAAGTCCAGGCTCGAGATGGAGGCATTCCTTTTTATAACTCCACTGTACCAGTCCAGGTTAAAGTAGTCCCACCAGAGGTGCCTCTGCCAAGGTTTACTGAACCACTGTATACATTCTCAGCCTCTGAGGATCTTCCCATTGGCTATGAGATAGGCACGGTCAAGGCCGATGCGGACGTGCCGCTGATATACAGCTTAGTAGATGGCAACACTGTGGAAAGCAACAGGGACAAAGTGTTTGCAGTTGATGAAGAAAGTGGCACACTTGTGGTGCAAAAGAATATTGACTATGAGAAGACCAAGTGGTATCAGATCGATGTTCTTGCTCAAGGCAGTCACAATGGCACAGATGTAGCTTCTCTAGTGTCAGTTAGCATCCAGGTTCAGGATGTGAATGACAACCAGCCCATGTTCGAGGCAGACCCATATAAAGCCGTACTGGTGGAAAACATGCCCTCTGGCACCACTGTCATCCAGGTGACGGCTAATGACCCAGACAAGGATGCTAATGGACAGGTGACATACACTCTGGAGCCAGAGATGGATGATGTCAGTGATATCTTAACCATTGACTCAGAAACGGGCTGGATCACCACGTTGAAGGAGATGGACTGTGAAACTAAACAGTTGTACAGGTTCTATGTGGTGGCCACTGACCATGGAGGCAGTGTTAAGCTTTCCTCTTCAGCTCTTGTGGAAGTGACAGTCACTGATGAAAATGACAACCCACCGCAGTTCACAGAGGAGCTCTATCAAGGGTCCATCATCGAGAACAGCAGGCCTGGAGAGGTGATAGTCACTCTGACAACTATTGATAATGATGTGTCTGTAGACAACAGACAGGTCGCATGCTATATAACAGGTGAGTACAATCATGGTCCCAGCTATCAGTAAAGTGCCAATTGAGTTCACAGTATCTTAGCTCTGTAACCTTGGGGCGTAAATACTAGCAGTTATCCAAATCCAAATCTCTATCCAAAGTGTGTCCAGTATTGTGTCTTGCTGTTATACTTGCAGTGCAATTATTAAGATAGGTGTTCTAACGGTGGTGTGGTTGACCCCAATAACCTTATAGTGGTTTTAAAGGCCCAGTTAATTTTTAATGTTGCTGTTCTATCTTGACCTTCTCTAAAGATGGTGACCCACTGGGCCAATTCTCAGTCATCGCAGTGGGAGAAGAGTGGAGAATTACTGCCAAAGGTTCACTTGACAGGGAAGTCAAAGACAAACACATACTCAAGATTTTAGCCACAGATGGAAAATTTCAAACAGCTGCCACAGTGGAGGTCCATGTTCTTGACATCAATGACAACAGTCCATTGTGTGAGCAAGTAAGTTATTCCAAAAAAAACAGCCGATTAGTCTATGCTGAGATTAAACGTTGTTTGAGTTCATCTGTTCAATTAAGCCATGAAGTTGATTGGTATTTGTGCTTTTAAGAGCTGAAGATAATGAAATGCAAAAATATGCTTTTGGCAATTCCTACACTTCTTTTTTTTTAGTTGCTGTACACTGAAGCAGTCATGGAGAATTCTGCGTCAGGACGGTTCATTCTGAAGGTGTCTGCCTCCGATCCAGACATTGGCACGAACGGACAAGTCTCTTTCACTCTTCATGGTCCAAATGCAGACAAGTTTCATCTTGACCCCAAAACTGGTAAAACTGATTTTTTTCATGCTTCCTTGGACTTCTCTTGTTTGTGTTGGGTATTTTTTTTAATCGTTAGAGATCAAGTATTTCTTTTCTTACATTTGAAGCACACCATCCACAACAACAATCAGAGCAAGAGCCAGGTTGTTCAAGGACCCTCACCTTAAAAATCTTGTTGTGCTTATCCTTCTCATCAATCGTTATTGTTTGGTTTGTGTTTTATCTGCCCTGACGGTTTCCAGTGCTTCCTATCTAAGCCCATCATCTAACAGCATGCTGTATCAGGTTACCAAGATGAGAAGTGTTTGGAATTATGTTAAATGCATTTCAGTGCATGGAGAACTGTGCATTGCATTCAGGTATAGAACTGTGTTGTCTGTGTAGGCTGCCAAAAAGACTGCAGAAATTTTGAAATGCATTTTTGCTTTTTTATGACAATATCAAAAATCCTTTCACAAACTACTAATGCTACAGAAATAATTTTTTGTGCTAGAGGCAGTCATCTCAGCATTTGTATTAGGCAACCTGTCCTTACATGATATTTGAAATGTTCTTCATGTTCCCTGGTCTATGACTAACATTTCACAACAAGTTATAACACAAACAAGCTTGTGTTGTAAACAGGGGAGCTGTTCACCCTCGCCGTCTTGGACCGGGAGAAGGAAACAGAATACGACCTGGTCGTCAAGGCAACTGACGGTGGTGGACGCTCATGTCAGGCAGACATTATGCTTATGGTACAGGATATGAACGACAACGCACCACAGTTTTCCACCAACCACTATGAGGTTACTGTGTTCGACAACACCACCGTTAGAACACCTATAGCAGTCATCTATGCCAAAGACCCAGACACAGGTATGCCAATTCTTAAATATGTGACCGTGATATGGAAGCACAGTGAACTAAAAAGCACATTGAACTACTGGAAATATGATGTGATGTCATTAATGTCCAAAATTGTGTTTGGTATCAATAATACTGAACAAAAAGATCTTGGAGAATGCACACTTGGTAAAAGCTTTTCACTGAAAGGCTCCCATTCCTTTCCCTGAGCCAGAACAGTATGGAGCGAGAAGTAAGGTGTGTAATGTTTGATCTGGAATTGAGTGCAGTACAGAAAGACACTTTTAGGGAGTGCCAGACCACACCTGGTGATGTGTGGGAACATGTACAGGATCCTCTGGTGCTCCTGGCCCAAGGCTTCTGCTCAGTTATGAACTAATTAACCCTATTTGCAACCATGTAAACAACAGTAGCGGCAAAATACTCTGTTTTGGCTTATTCCTTCTGACAGTTCTGACTGGTTACAAAACCAGGAACTAGAAATAGCCTGTTCAGATTAGCCTCTTATCTTGCACCTGTACAACTTTGATCATTATAAAACTACACCTGCATTGACGTAATTAAATTAATGCTTGAATTTCTAGTTTTAATACCTTAGGTAAATCACCAATCTAATAGCAACAAGCTTGAAATTCTGTCCATTTCTGAAGTTTAGTGACATGCTTGGATGATTTCTGCTTCACTGGCCCAGGGCTTCTGCTCAGCAGTGAACTACTTTGACCCCATTTTGCATCAGTAGCTACAAAACACTTTCAGTTTTTTACTCACTTCTTCTGACAGTTCTGATTACAAAACAAGGAACCAGAAATAGCTGTTTAGATTGGCTTGTTATGTTGTACCTGTCAGTGATTCCTTTACAAATGCAGGTGTATTTATGTGTTTTAGGTCCATAAGTTAGGTCCATAAGTATTTGAACACGACGTGAAACAAATTTTGCCTCTGTACACTACCACAATGGACTTGAAATAAAGCAGTCAAGTCTTAACCATTTAGGAATTACAGCCATTTTACATAGTCCCTCCATTTTCACAGGCTTAAAAGTAATTGAACAAACTAACATAATTATAAATACAAGAATTATTTTTAATACTTGGATGCAATTCCTTTGCAATCAATGACTGGACCCATCAGCCAATGCTGATTTTCCTCCCTTGAGATGCTTTGCCATGCCTTTACTGAGACTGCCTTCAGTTGCTGCTTGTTTGTGTGTCTTTCTGCTGTCACTTTTGTCTGCAGTAAGTGAAAATCATGCTCAATTATGTTGAAATAAGGTGACTGACTTGGCCATTTAAGAATATTCCATTTCTTTGACTTAAGGACCTCTTGGGTTGCTTTCACTGTGTGTTTGGGTCATTATCCATCAGTTTTGCAGCATTTGACTGAATTTGGGCAGAATATATAGCTCTATACACTCTGTACATTCTGCTACTTCTATCAGCTGGCACATCATCAATAAACACCAGTGACCCAGTTCCATTGAATGCCATACATGCCCATGCCATAACACTGCAATGTTTGACAAATGATGTGGTATGCTTCGGATCGTGAGCCCTTTCTTTCCTTCTCCATACTTTTCCCATCATTCTGGTATAAGTTAATCTTGGTTTCATCTGTCTAAAGAATCTTGTTCCAGAACTGGGCAGGCTTTTTTAGATGTTTTCCAGCATAGTTTAATCTGGCATTTGTGTTCTTTGAGTGTTACCAGTAGTTCGTATTTTGGGATTAAACCCTCTGTATTAACATTCATGAAGGTGTCTCTTGATTGTGGACTTTGACAATGGTATACCATCCTTCTCTAGAATGTCCTTAACCTAACTAGACGTTGTGAATGGGTTTTTCTTCACTATGGAAAGAATTCAGCGATCATCCACTTATCAGACTAGTTGTCTTCTGTGATCGTCCAGGCCTTTTAGTATTGCAGAGCTCACCAATGCTGGTGTACATAGGCAAAATTACAAAAAACATGTCATTGTCCGAATACTTGTGGACCTGAATGTACATGTTTAATATATGATTAACTACAAATCTTGGTTTCTCATTTTGATGACTTCATTTCAAATCTAATGACAGCATGCTTAAAATTTTATTCATTGCTGAATTTTAATGACATGCTAAGATTATTGTTGTTCACTGTCTGAGGTTGGTGTCCTCTCATCCTCTTTTACAGGCATAAACTCAGAGGTGAGATACTCCCTCCAGGGAGCATACAGCGGCTTCTTCTCTCTGGACGAGATTTCGGGAATCCTACGTCTGGAGCGTTCTCTGGCTGATGAGCTGGCTCAGTCCACCTTTGAGCTGCGAGTCAAAGCCACAGACAGAGGTCTTCCTCATCACCACTCCTCTATAGCTACGGTCACCGTGCATGTTGTTGACCTGAGCGACTACCAGCCTGTGTTCCTGAGCGCTGAGTACACAGCCCAGCTCCCAGAATCCTCAGCAATAGGGACAGAAGTGCTCAGCGTGTCCGCACTCACCAGAGATGGCACTGGCAACGAGCCTGTCCGATACTCCATCATCTCTGGCAACGAGGACGGAAGGTTCCAAATTAATCCAGAGACAGGTGAGGCTGCCTTTTATGTCTTTTATGTGTAGCGTGCCATCTCCATGGGCTGGTTAGCATAATAAATTATTTGATTATGATAGATGGTGCCCTGACCAGCTTTATTACAATGCATTTAATATTAGAAATACATGAGAAATTGGGACCAGTGGGCGTTGCTGTTTTTGTCCCTGTGGATTTTACGATTTAATTAAATTACCACCAGTACGGCATTTGTTTTAATAATGAGCAACATGGAGAAACACAAATGGCAAACTTATGCAGAACTAGTAGTAATTTCATTACTCTTCATTATAGTGTTTTCACATTTTGCATGCATTTATTTAGTTGAATGCATTTTTATTTAGCCGCATACTTTTAATTTATCTATAATTTATATTAAGATGGTGAGACTAATTTATCATAATAACCGAGTGATATGCAGTGTGTTGTGCAGGTAAATATTAATGCATGAGTTTCAGTGAAACGTTATATTTGAATGGTGACTCTTGTGCAAGAAAAATGCTGCAATCTTGACAGCAAACAAAATACGATTGCACAAATAATAGACAGACAATGGACTTATAGGGCTAGAAAGATTCTTTGTCTCCTGGTGTTGTCTTGAGTAGATTACACTGCACACTGCACCTAGAAAGCCTGGTAAGCTTCTCCTTGAGGATTAGTAAGGGCAGAGCTGGAGAGCCTGTACTAACATGCTCTTGAACCACGGAACCTCTCATTCGTTTCTTCTCTTCTGCTCACTATTGCTTAGGGCCCCCCATCTCTGTTTTCTTATCTCCACTCCTCAGAGTCTTCAGCCCACACCACTTTTCTTTCTGGATTGAGCCAACTTCTTTATTCATTATTTGTCTAACACTTCACAATTGCAATCCCTGCCAACTACCAGGCATTCTGCTGAAGAAATCAATTGGTTATTTAGAAGTAATTTGCGTTCCAAAAGCTATCAGCCCACAGAATGGTTGGTTATATGCCTAAACGCAGCCTCAGCTCTAATACACAGGGTTTGCATTATGTTAGGGAGAAAATGAGCTGGAAACATCTTTTTGACAAGCTTTTAGTTGGATTTTCTTTTTCTATTTTCAGTTCATGTGAAAAACTAAGGAGTAGAATATCCATGAGTTCAAAAGGTTTAATGCTGCTTCAGCAGTGCTTTTTTGCGGATCCAGTTTTTTGGGGGCTGGGGATTAATGAGTCACTCACTGTTGCTCACTGATCTTTAGATTAATTAATGTTTCTCTTTTTAAAAAAAAAATCAGTCTATCTATCCCACAATGTACATCCTAGCATATATATTAAAAAATCTGCAACTTAACATATGTTGGAAATTCTGCAACTTAAGGTGCAAATTCTATAACAAAAAGAGAGGACCACTAGACTGAAACTACGGTCAGCTTTGAACTGCCATGTATTAAAATCCATGTAATATTCTGTGCTGGCATCTTCCAGTAGATGTCACAGTTTTACATCTTATCTCTGCTGTTAGCTTTTGTAAGATTCCACATAATGCACGTAGAGACGAGGCAAGGGCGATTTCAACAATAGCGTGGTCCCTGAAATGCAGAAACGTGAGAATGCACTGAAACCTTCTATCATTGTGTGGCATTGATGGCATGCTTATTACACTCTGCATGGATCTGTCATTTTCTTGAATGACGAGCCATTTGTTGCCATAACACCCAGTTCTCACTACTTAACAACGTGTTCCAGGAATTCACTGCATTTTCACCATCGCGATCATAGAAAGATGCTGTGACATTGACCAAGACTTTTTATTCTCAGGGGCTTGTGTGTCCACTCTTGCATAGAAAACAAACCATGTATACAAACACAGGAGCAAACACACCTTTATTGACAGAGGGGAGGTAGAGGACAGACAGAGTCCTGTTAATAACATGGCAGCTGAGCTCTGGGAAAAGCCATTAAGTGACACAGCAGAGCCCTTGATCTTTAAAATCAATAAAAAGAGAGATTGCGGAGAGCAATTTTGCACTTGTTGAAACCTGGATTCTAGCAACAAGCAGGAATGCAGTTAGTTGTGTGTGTTTTGTGCCATCTAGTCTTATTTTAATGAAGTGTGCAAGTAGACTGATAGGAGGCCTAGTAAACCTGTTCTTTTGTGCGCACAATCTTCTGCAGAGAAGTGGAGGGGATGATACCTAAGGAATATTTCTGTCTGTACTGAACTAAAATCTTGACTGTTCAGTTGTATGGCTTATGCTAGTGTTTTTCTATGTCTCTGGAGTGCTTTTCCCTGTTTGTCCTGTATTACATGGAAAACAGTACAAAAACTTTCATGTTGTATATTGTGCTGTTTATTGCTTTTTGTAAAATTAACACTCATTCCAAATTTGATTCCTGCAACATGTTCCAAAAACGTTGGGACAGGAGCATATTTTGTGTTATATCACCTCTCCTTTTAACAACGCTTAATAATCGTGTGAGGAATGAAGAGACAAATCGATACAGTTTTGGAAGTGGAATTTTTTGCCATTGTTGTGTTACGTAATTCTTTAGCTGGGCAATCGTACAAGGACTTTATTGCTGTATTTTTCAGCTTAAAACTGCGAAACATTTTCAGGGGGGTCAGTTCTGGACTGCAGGCAGGCAAGTCAAGCACCCGCACTCTCTGATTATGCATCTGTTATATTGAAACGTGCAGAAAGTGTCCTGCTGTTGTCATGTTGAAATAAGCATGGGTGTCTCTGAAAACGACGGCAGCTAAAAGGCAGCAAATTGCCCACTAACACCCTCCCATACCATGACAGGCCCTGGTTTTTAAACTTTATGCTGGTAACAGCTAAGCTGCATGGTCCTTTTCTTCTGTGTCCCAGAGATCACAACATCCATTATTTCTATATACAATCCGAAAAGTTGATTTGTCAGACCTCGATACACGTTTCCACTGTGCATCAATCCATTTCAGATGAGCTTAAGTCTGGAGACGTATGCAGTATTTCTGGTTACTGTTGACATATAGCTTCCACTGTGCATAGTACAGTTATCACTTGCTTGTGGATGCAGTGAAGGACGGTGTTTACAGACAGTGGTTTTCAATGTGATTCTGAGCCCATGCGGTGATATCCATCACAGAAACATGCTGTTTTTTAATGAAGTACCATTTGACGGCATTCATTTGTGATTTTCAGCCCTGTTCTTTATGCACAGAGATTTCTTCATATTCCCTGAATGGTTTAATGTTATGCACTGTAGAGGGTGAAATACCTAAAATTCTTGTAATCACTCGCTGAGGAACGTTATTTAAGTGGCGCGTTTTGACCTATCCTTGCTCATAAAGGACTAGACCTTTTCTGTGTGGATTCTTCTTTTATATCCAAGCATTATTGCATCACCTGTTTAAGGTATTTTTTTGATCATTTCACAATGTTTCTAGTAAATTGCCCCATACCCACTTTTTTGAAAGGTGTTGCAGGCATCAATTTCAGACTGAGCATTAGAAAAAGCAGTGAAGTTCATAAGGTAAAAAAAATGTTTTTTATCTACTGTTCCAACTTTTTGGAATTTGGTTTGTACTAAAATGTGTTGGACAGAGTGGCTCTAGCACCAGGACTGAGAGCTACTGCCAAAGAAGTTTATATTGAAAGCACATATTGAAATATAGGCCTACTACTGGTCAGAAAGGAGATAATGAAATATATTATGTTAATTGATCACATACCATTTGTTTGTTAATTTAATTTGATTTAATTTTTGTTTGAAAGTGATTGACTCACTTTCAGTCTAAAAAGTAAACAAGCAGCCCCTAAACAAGTGACCAATTTTTACTTCAGCCCCTGAAAATGAATGATTAAGTACTAGAGTTATTAGTGAAAAACAATTTGAGGAAATTATGCTTCCCTCTGTGCTCATTTTAACACTGTTTGCACTGTTTCTTTTGAAGTTCATAGATACGTATTTAACTCTGAGTCATTTTTTGTGCTTGGAAGATTTGTCGCTTAATCAGTAAACAGTAGTGCAGACTTGCCCAGAAAGAAACTCCCGGACCGCAGGCCCGAAAACTGGTTCTTACATCATTTCACGCTTGTATGAAAGCCAAGCTCAGCCATAGGTTTCTTCCCTTAGATCTTTCTCAAACTTAGAACACTACCTAATTGGATGCCATCGCCAGGGAATTGCTAACTATGCTTTTTCAAGGTAGAAGTATGCTTTGATTTGACTCGGCCCACTGCCCTTTTCCCCCGCCGTGATCATTCTGCCAGGAACATTCGCAACGGTAGCTTTGCGTTTACAAAGCCATATCACACAGTGGCTTTCATCCCTGAGAGCCATCGAATGGATTTCTGGGCTTTGTTCTCGAGCTCAGGCAAACGTGACATTCTCTTTCCTCCAGGCCATTTTCTGCAGAGAGCGCAGCATGCCAGTCAGGAGCGGCTGTGATATTGTCTTTCTGTGCCGCAGGTGTGCTTTGGGTGAGCGCTGCACTGGACTTTGAGCTGTGCCGCGAGTATTACCTGTCAGTGGAGGGGGCGCGAGGCAAGGCGTCGCTGGCTGACATCGCCATGGTTATTATCAACATCACTGACATCAACGACAACCCACCCGTTTTTAGCCGTGGAGACTACAGCGCCGAAATCACAGAGGATATCTCTCCTGGAGACACAGTGATGCAGGTATCACTGACTGCCTCCCTCACCTGTCACTGCTGCTTCAATGATAGTGCTATCAAATGAAGCCAGGGCTGGCCACTTCCTGCCCCAACCTGGCCTGCTATCCCACGCCTCTAGACTGTGACAGTTAGATTTAACCAGACATGCTCAGTCAGTCAGGGATCCCTTAATAGCTGATGTTCACTCTTTAACTAATATTTGTCATTTATTTTTGCTGAATCAATTTTGAGTGCTCTTTGAAGCATAGTGTCATGCATAATCTGGTAAGAAAATTAAAGGAAGAGTTTCACAAAAAAACAAATTCACACAATTTACCCCTAACCTCAAATGTAGCTATCAGACAAGACATGTACAGAACTAAAGAAGTTTGCTTCTCTAGTTCTGTACTGGAGTTGTGAGGCTAATGTAGCTTATGTAGAAGTCATTTTTCAGTGTTAGAAAAAAAGTAGGAAACATATATTTAATAGAAAATTACACAAAAGCATCAAATGCAAGAGAAAATTTTAAATCTGTATTTATTTTTTGCACTTACTGCCACATTAACTCTTTGATCTTTCAAATGTTAAAACCAACCAGTTACAGATGTGTCCTCTCAACAAAAGTTTCCCAAAGGAATGACTGACATTGTGTTCCCCTTGAAAGAGACACTAACATTCTCACAAGCAACTACCCAAATTCTCCTTAGCTGCTCTGCAAATTTCTTTCTTGAGTGCAACTAAAATGGCTAAAGGGATATTTTTGAGAAGGTCAGATATAAGATAATCCACTTGCATAAGGAAGGAGAAAGTCAAGGGAAAAAAACAGGAGTTTCCAAAACTGGAGTTCAAAACGTATTCAAAGATTGTGAAAATAAGTGTCCTAATAATGTGAAAGACCTGGTAGACCACCAAACCATCACTATCAGATAAACAGTATGTAAAGCTTTCATCTTAGAGAGATTAGAGAATATATGTAAAAAAAATTCACTAGAACATCAAAACCGGACATTTGAGATTTGGAGCAATTTTTTTATGAACTGATGAGTCTAAATTTGTAATTGGGATTGTTTGGAAAATGGAAGCTGTAATAAAGGCAAAGGGTGGACACACACTAAATGATACTGTGTGATTGTATGAGTAAGACTGTTATGTGTTAGTGTGATGCTGCAGCCTGTTTGCTATGGTTGATGCTGGCTGTTCCATCCTAAGCACACGCAGGTTCACACAGCTTTACTCAGCCATAGTAAGTTTTTCTCGTTCGTGTCTGATTCTCTCTCTGCCCTTCTCTTCTCCCCCACCCTTCACCCTTCTCTCTCCCCATCCTCTCCTTCTCTCTCTCTTTTTTCCCTCTCTCTCTTCCCCCTTCTTTGCCCTTCTGTTCTACTCTCTGTCTCTCACCCTTCTCGCTCTCTGCCGTCCGCTCTCCTCTCCTTGTCTCTCTCTCCCTTTCTTTCCCTCTACCTCTCTGCCCTTCTGTTTTCCTTTCAATCCCTCTCTGCCCTCCTCTCCTTTTCTCTCTCTCTCTTTCTTTCTCTCTCTCTTGCAGGTGACAGCTGTCGACCTTGATGGGCCTCCAAACAACCTCATCCACTACTCCATCGTGAGTGGCAACCCACAGCAGCAGTTCAGCATCGATCCTCGCACTGGTCACATCAAAGTGCGCTCTGCACTGGACAGGGAAGAGGTGAGCACGTCCGCTGCAAAAGAGTGAAAAGCTGGAACGGAAATACAGGCCGTTCCTCACCTCCCACAACGAGCATGGACTTGTTTGCTTTGGTTTTGGTTGCCTTAATCATCAGAGGAGAATAGTTTGTTCATCAGAGAAGAATAGTTTGAACATTAAAGCTGGCTTATGTAATTGGGCTTGGGCTAGCCAAGAAATTTCTTTGAAACTGTTTATCTGGGTAGTAAGTGATTTTGCTGCATAACATTAGAATAAATGCATATACATAAAAACAATATTCCAGCATTTTTCAATGTAATCTATTACTGCAGGGTCTTTATAGTACCATCACTACCTCGATGACATCAGACGATAATTTTGATTCGTTTCCCTTATGAAACAAACTGAAAACTTTTTGACTTGAAACTTCCTATACTTATAATGGAAGCCAGTCTGTATATGCTGTATTTTCTTTCAGTAAACATTCGAAAGTAAAACCGTTACATTCTAACACAGATCTAAAGACCTGCAGAGGCCTGTAAAGATTCCACCCACACCACACGCTGATAATGTATGACCACAGACTCTTTCTTCTGAAAAACTAATCTTGCCTCAAGCTTAATTCATAAAAGTGTTTACAAAAATGTGATCTGCATTAAGTTTTACTAACTGAATTCCACGACAGCTTAATGACTTCTATTATAAATGTGTTACAAGTCACGGGGTTTTCCGTCCTTTTCTAAAAACAGGTAAAGAAGTAATCAACTCTATGCTACAGATGCAGTTAAAGATATAGATGCAGATATAGGTTAGACCAGAAACCCTGAAATATTCCTTTAATATGGTAAAAATTAACAAGTGCCTATTTTCAAAAAAGTTAGTGACATCTTGTTAGTTGATTAGAAAAACGCAGGTTTGGTTTGACTTCTCAATATATCCCGGATGTTGCATGCATTTGGTCAACCATCAAATGACCTGATTGAACTAAATACCTTAATGAAGTATTGATTAGCTGAACCAGGCATTGGATGGCAACCACAAATATCAGGCTGCCTTGAAGAGAGGTTTGGAAATGGTTAAACTCACACGCTGACACACATAAAATCACAGTTTGTTGAAATAATGTTTTTTATTTATTCTCATGTTGGCAAACATAAACGCTATCTGCTTAACATATGAATTTCTCAGGCCTACAACTTTTCGCACAGTACTGTATGCGTAAAAGCAGAAAAGCAAGGAAGCTGTATTAAGTCCTGACTCTGGTTTATTTCAGATTACACACTACTCGTTAACCATCCAGGCTGCTGATGAGGGGCAACCCCCTCTGTCTTCGGCTGTGCAGGTGACAGTGACGGTGACTGATGTCAACGACAATCCACCTGTCTTCTCCCAGACCACCCACAGCCTTGTTCTGCAGGTATGGGAGGAGGAGCAGGGAGCTCATCTTTGTTTTGAGTTAATACAGGTCCACAACCCTGCTCAGAGGTGCAGGAGGGACAAGACACCAGTCCCAAAAGCCATTCAGGCGTGTCTAATACAGCTATGGATTTGTTCCTGTGCCATTTTGTCCGCAGTGGTATTTGCTCTGGCTGTTTACCCCTTTGGACTCAGCCCGATTCATCTCCTCTAATTATAGGGCCAACTCTGCTGACATGGAAATCCTTTTCACAGCCCATTTGCCTCCACCCAAGGCGTCTGTGTCTTCCAAGCAGCCAGACTATTTGGCACAATGGAGGTGGTCAGTGACAATTAGGCTTATCTCTGCCAACTGGGCACTCTGCTTCAATTACCTGCTCCAGTTGTGTCAGTTTGAATGGAGTAGAGACAGTCAAGGTGTGCATGCTTGGGCCAGATTGGAGCATGTGGACCAACGAATGCAGACTCATTGATATGAATCTTGGTCTCCATCTGCTCACATGTGGTTCAGAGCCCAGTGTTTGAATATGATCATCTTCTTCAGCCGTAATTGTTTTCATTTTTGTTCTAGAAGAATTTGGCTTTGGAAAGCATCTTGGTGACAAATTCTTGATCTGACAGAGCTGGAAAAAGCTAAACAGACATGCAACATAACAAGTTGATCACTTTTACTCTCTTTCAAGAATTCTCTTTATTTGTCACTGTTGGTCTTCACCTGAGCCACTGTTTGCTCCAGTCTTGGAAAAGTAATAGTAGATTGTAATAGGAGCATGCACCATGTTAACCAGAGAGTAAGTAGTAAGTAAGTAAGTAAGTAAAGTTTATTTATATAGCGCTTTTTACAACAGGTGTTGTCACAAAGCAGTTTTACAAGGAAATCAGCATTACAGAAAGAAATCCGGGTCCAAGCCCCCGTGAGCAAGCCAGTGGCGACAGTGGCAAGGAAAAACTCCCTAGGAACAGGAAGAAACCTTGAGAGGAACCAAGACTCAGAAGGCGAACCCATCCTCCTCTGGTCGACACCGGATAGTAAACATTGTTAGTACAAAAACCGGGAAAACAGGTGGAGCAATGATTAATTTGATTAGTTTAGTTCATGCAGCAGCAGCGGCGGCAGCATCAGCATCAGTGGGGTCAGGTTGTGAGGGTGAGGTTTGCACAGTGTAGTACAGCATGGAGCTTGATGGTGGTCAAGCCGGTCCAGAGGGCTGGCAAGCAGTGGCACCCAATCAAGGCAGAAGAGGCAGCAGCATCAGACACACAGGATGGGCAGCTGTTCGACTCGGCAAAGGAAATGAAAGAAAGGAAAAACACACAGAGTCAGTTCTGTAATGGGTGATTGATTAATTTGATTAGTTTAAATGATTGATTAGTTCAAATGATTAATTTGATAAGTTTAGTTTATGCAACAGCAGCATCAGTGGGGTCGGGATTGTGAGGATGAGGTTTGCACGGCGTTGTACAGCAAGAAGCTCAATGGTGGTCAAGCCGGTCCAGAGGGCTGGCGAGCAGTGGCACCCGATCACGGCAGAGAGGCAGCAGCATCAGAATGAACAGGATGGGCAGCTGTTCAACTTGGCAAAGGAAAGAAAGAAAGGAAAAACACACAGAGAGAGCAGTGTGCACTGTGCAATGAGGATTACTGAAGTCCATTTATGTTTGTTTGTACTCTGGTTTTGTGATGGAAAAGTTGTAGCATTTACATGTTCTTAACTGTTGTGTTATTCTGTGGCAGGAAGGGGACGCTGTGGGCAGTAGCATTTTGCAGCTGTTGGTCAGCGATAGGGACACGCCTCAGAATGGCCCTCCCTTTTCTTACCACATTGTGTCAGGGAACGAAGGCAGACACTTTCATGTGGACCAGGGGGGTCTTCTGTCCCTCTCCTCATCACTGGGAAAGAGAGGAAAGCCTCAGCATGTGCTCAAAATTCAGGTAAAGGTTTATACTGTAACTCTTGTTAAAGTAGTTTTTCAGCACAAAATCTAATTTACAGTTTTCTTCTTCAAATATAGTTGGTCAGCCAAGATATGTTTGGCATGTCAAGTTGGCTTCTTTTGTTTGCATCTTGCCTCTTTACCTCAAACTACACCATGTTAAATAATGAACAAAAGTATCTTGTATAGCTAAAAACAGCAGTAACGGAAATCCTGAAGACTGAATTTTGTCCGAACATGCAATTTGCACATTGTTAATTAGTATGGAAACTTAGTCTCGTGACTCAGTGCAAAACTAAAGAAGCAAATTTTGGACCAAATATGTCTTGGCTGGTCACATTTATACTATTCCTTTAAGAAGGAAAGACCCTTTGAATGATGTGTATAATATAAACTTATTCTTCAAAATATTGAATATTCTTCAAATTATTCTTCTGGTTGGAAATTAACTTCACAAAGGAGATGGAAAAAAGGACCATTATTATAATAGCTTAAATCAACTTCAATGTATTTCATTTATAATATGAATGTTACCCTAACAGGTCACTGACAGCGGCCACCCCCCACTGTCATCTATATGTGTGGTCAAAATCAATGTCACTGAGGAAAGCAAGTACCCTCCCACTGTGGCACCACTGGAGGTCTTCATAACGACCACTGAGGAAACTTTCCCCAGGCGAGTCATCGGCAAGCTCCATGCCTCTGACCAGGACCCCCAGGACGTCCTGTCTTACAGGATGGAATCCACACATGAAGGACTGTTCTCTGTGGACCCTGTAGATGGGAAGATTGTGGCAGAGGAGGCACTGCGGGCCGGCCTGTATTCCCTCAACGTGAGCGTGTCTGATGGCAAGTTCAGTGTGTTTGCAGGTGTGCGGGTGCATGTGTGGGCCGCCTCCCAGCAGGCCTTGGACCAGGGTTTCACCCTGCAGCTGGCTGGTGTGTCCGCTGAGGAGTTTGTGGCAGACCATTGGAGAAGCCTTCAGCGCAGCCTGGGCGCTGAGCTCAACATCCCCAGGTGCAGTTGGGCAATATGGGAAAAATGTATTTTTCCAAAATACCTCAATAACCATAAATCTTATGACAATTAAGCAGAAAAAGAAATGAATTGAATAAGAGAATAGTAAGGGGAAACATAACATACTTCCAGGGCACATATCCACTTCAAATTTACACATATAATGTCCTTTGACTTTGCACTTATTATATACGTTTTTGTTCATCTTTACAAGCGTAAAGTCATTCGTGTTTTCTTTGATAATATGTAATGCCCCAGTAATATTTGCAGAGAAACAGCCCTATATCATAATGCACCCACCTCCATTTTTCACTGTGGGTGTGGTGTTCTTGGGATCATACTCACATTGCCAAAGAGTTCTGTTGTTTTTTCGTCTCACCACAGTACACTGTCCCAAAACAATTCTGCTTCGTCTAAACATCTAAATTTTATATATGCATCTCCATGCTTCCTTTTTAGCAGAGGAGTTTTGTATGAGGTGTAGGAACAGGGATGATTATAGTGCAGTTCGTTGCTTATTGTTTTCTGTGCAACTGTTTTTCCTCCTGCTTTCAGGTTGTCCTGCAACTCTTTTTGAGTGGCTGCTGGCTTTTTACTTACCTTCCTTATCATTAGTCTGAGTCTTTGTGAAATTTTGCATGGCGCACCTGTCCAGAGACAATTAGCTATGTTTTGATTAACATTACACTTGTGTATTATTGGACCAGTTGTGCTGATCAGGGATGTTTAAGGTCTTTTCTAGCACTCTGGAGCTTTTTCCCTTCAAATGTTTTTCATAATGCTATCCCTGAGAACCGGGGCGGCACGGTGGGTAGCGCTGTCACCTCGCAGCAAGAATGGCCTGGGTTCGATTCCCGGCTGGGCGACCAGGGTCATTTCTGTGTGGAGTTTGCATGTTCTCCCTGTGTCTGCGTGGGTTTCCTCCGGGTACTCCGGTTTCCTCCCACAGTCCAAAAACATGCAGTCAGGTTGATTGGACATGCTAAATTGCCCCTAAGTGTGAATGTGTCTATGTCTGTCTGCCCTGCGATGGACTGGCGACCTGTCCAGGGTGTATCCTGCCTTCCGCCCAATGACAGCTGGGATAGGCTCCAGCACCCCACCGCGACCCAGAAGGATAAGCGGTTTAGATGATGTATGTATGTATGTATGTATGTATCCCTGAGAACCTTGGGAAGCTCCTTCACCATGAGTGCAATTGTTGCAACCAGTGGCAGTGTCTTTTACAATGACATCAGGGGCAGTTTGCACAATAAGGTTTTTATTTCTATTCTTACCGCATTAATATATAGAACTTAATTTTTTTACCTTTACATATTTGTATATTTTAATATAGTGTCTAAAGTAGTTTTTTTCCCTATTAATTAATTTTTCTTTTTACTTTTTGTTTAAATATACTTTATATATATAACAAATACAAAAGTGTCAGAATACTCTGTTTCTCATTAGGGGGGAAAAAAATTTCAAAAATGTCATCTAGCCTTAATGTCTAAGTCAAGCGAATTTCCACTTACATTCCTTTCATAAAAGAGTTTCCAGTTCAGCTGCAGTAAAGCTATTGACAATATAAAATTTAAAAAGTGTCAGTTTAAAAATATCGATGCTGGTAAAAAATTAAATTATTTTGTGTCCCTGTCCACAGGCAGGAGCTGCATATCGCCAGCCTGCAGCAGGATCCCGACTCCGTCAACCTGCAGGTGCTGTTAGTGCGTCGGGCTCAGGACGGCTCAGCCCGACCCGTGGGTGCTCAGCGATTGGATGTAGCGCTGACCACAGTTGGGGACACCCTGGGCCTGAGGGTTCTCAGAGTGAGGTCGGACGGCTGTGTGGGCGATGATTGCCCCGAGCGAAGCTGCAGGAGCTCTGTGCTGATGAATGAAGAGAGAGTGAGCCACTACAGCACAGCGCGGACCAGCTTCATCACGCCCCGCCACAAATGGGAGAGTGTCTGCTCCTGTAACGGTAGGCGCCTGCCTCTTAAACACTGGCCACATTCCGACGAGGATTAGCAGATATCCAAAGACCGTTAGTGTCATTATCGTACATCATTTGATCACATCTCTGTTTTGACTGTTCTGGTATCAGTAAAGAAAACAAGGAATTCTAACATTCTTGGGTCAAAGAAAATTTAAGTGTTCTGAGAATATGTGGTCTAAGAATATATAGTACAGATAATCAGTATAGATCAGTGGAGACTCTCAGGTACACCTGCCTTGCACCAAGGTTCAAAACTGAGATGAGCCAAGAAACCAGCCCTTAGCTTTTCTTTTTTTCTTGATCTAAAGTCTGAAAATATCTTTTAAGTGACAAAGATGTCTTTTTCTCCTTGCAAAAACAATACTGGGTGGGCTACATCTTATTTTGAAAAAGAGTGTGGAGAGTTCAGCTTTATAAAGAGCTTTTACACATCTCTCTAATGTCTGCAAACCAATTTGATTTGCTTTTGGAGATGCAAGCAGATAAAGAAGCAGATAAACTAATCCTTTTGACGTTTACCATGTAGTACAGGTTGCTAGTTGAGACAATGATTCGTCATGTGAAGAACAGAGGGCAAATAAAAAGTTACACATGTTCAAATAAATGTATTGATGTCTGAGTAAATTGCATGAATAAATCATGTTCATGGTGTGTCAGAACATGCAGAACACAAAATTTGCAGCGCAGAAAGATGCAGTACTCTAAGACCAGATTAAGAACCAGTGATATGGATTGTTTTCACTGTATTTTATGTTCTTGATGTAATAGTCAGGTGTTATTTGTGCTTAGTGTATGTACTCAGTATAATAGCCAACGGTTTGTTTTGGCAGTGACATCAGAAAGTAACTGCAAGGCATTGATTGGCTTCTGCTAATCACAGGTAGTTGTCAAAATGCAGCACTTTTGGATTGCACTAACAGTTTACACTCTCTGTATTTTAGAGTCTGCCGTGAGATTTGATGGACATGGTTATCTGAAGTACCTTTATCGGGTGGAGGAGGAAAAACAGAACTTCCATCTGTCCCTACGAATTAAGACATCTGATGCTGAAGGCACAGTGATGACTGCTAACACCTCTGACTGGGGAACATTACAGGTATTACAGCTCACAATCAACAGCAAAGAATGTGTACATCATAAGGCTAAAAGAGAAGTAGATTGGAAGAAATAAATATTAACTGACATCAAGGCAAGCTAATCACATAAAATCTCAGTGTATTTTTCAGGTTTGTCTTCCATCTTCACTCTCTCTGAATGACTAGATCAGTCATGTGAATCTCAAAGAACATTCTAATGTTGATTAGAGTGCCTTTGATAGTATAATCAGTAAATCAATCTGTTTTTTATTTTTTCTCAGAAGCAATGTTATGACGAACCCTCTGCTTCTATACTTTCAAAGGCGGGTAATGAGGGCATGCTTGCTCTATCTTAAGTAGATTTATCTAGTGGGCCTCAAAATGTTTAGAGCTTGAATTACACATAGGAGATGCCACACAAGAGACTTTATGAAAAGAAAGATTCCCACAACTGTTTGTGGCAGGAAGGATAAAGATACAGAATATCCATGGTACTACTTATTAAAACCACAACCTACTATTTAAAGTCATGTGACGTCTCCCGCAGGGTCTTCATTTATACATCATATTCGAATATTCAGTTTAAAAGGTTGGAGACATCAAAAGTGTCATCTCTGTATTTCCGAGATTTGCCTCAGGGTCCTAAATCCTGGCAGTGCTAGTCTGTATTATTGTCAGAGAAAGGCTTCAAAAAGAATCATTAAACGTGGTCATCCAAGAATTCTCCCACGCATGTGGTGACAAGATACATGGCACAGTTTGTGTTTCTCCAGAGTGGTGGTGATGCTCCACTGCACCTTAGGAAATTATTATCATCTCACAGACCTAATCAATATTCCAGGTTGAAAGAGCAAGCAGTGCATTGCTTGGAAACCTCCAGGAATTAGAATGACCTATCCCTCAGTTAATTCTTCTTTTCTATACTCACACCACTTGAGTAATTACCTTTCAAATGGAAATTGGGTCGTTTTGAATAAGACCACCTCTGACAAGACAGAGGGAAGAAAAGGTGACTTGTCAGTTAAGCTGCTGTAACATTTATGAAAACTGACAGCTACAATCTAACATTATTAAAGGGAACAAGATTCCTGATCCGATACACAGATACCCTTAAATGATCCAAGAAGTCAGAATAGGAAGCAGTAGTTGTGATAATCATGTTTATTTCCCTTTCAAAGTGCACCTAATCTGTACATTTCTAGTTTGCTCCTCCTTACTCTGGGCCTTAAATTAAGAATATGTAAAGGCAGGCGATTTTAATTCCTGCAGCAGCCAAACATCAACAGAGACACAGCCTGTGCTGAAATGGGAGATAATCCACTGCTTTGATCTCAACAGTAAGGTGGAATCGGGTTATATTTTCTCTAATCACGGACACCTTCAGTTCACTGAACTGCTGTACAATTAAATGATTTTAGGGGAATTTGTATTTGCAGCCCCTTCTCTGTCTCAGCTTGTAAGGTGTTAGCTTTAGCCCCAGGGCTAATTTGTAGCCTAGCCGCAATTACTCTGTGGTCCAGCGGTTTTGGTTTTTGATGTGGACACATCAAAAACCAAAACAGCCTTTCTACCTGTCAGACTCGTCAAAGAGCTTAAAAGTCTGATCAAACGCCCCTCGCCCCATACACTCTCTCCTCCCCTCTAGGGTAAAACACCTCTTCCATTAGCGCAAGGCTCACCACCCTCAGCACAGCACACTCAGGCCAGCGCAGCAGCTCACTGAAAATAAAACAGCGGCCCCAGACCAATGAAAGAAAATGAGCAAAGCCCATGGGCTGTCCTGATACATCAGAGGCTGCATGCACTTCACACACCACAAAACTCTCTGAAGACTCCACCACAGCAATTAAGTGGCCAGTGTGAAGATGATCATGATTAATAATACATGCTCTTGGAAATTAGCATGATGCTTGCAAATTTAAGGCGTGTACGCAAAGCCGTGCATTTTTAATGAAAGTCAGAGAAGAGCTAATGCATGGAAGGAAACCTATGAGAAAATATGAAAAAATATGAAAGGCCGAAGTGATTTCATTATTTATCGGTGCTGCGCTGAGGAGGCAAAAAAATGTCCATGTGCATGCTAATGCTCCTGATTTGAGCATGACCTTGCATCCCGGAGCCCCATCGCGGTTGAAAGCAAGCTGCCTCCTCTTCGGCTCCAGGGACCTCTGTCTTCCTGAACTACCCGCGCGTCACTCAAAGCACTTCTAGACTCAGAGAGAGTGCGCACTTCACACTGTGCAAAAAACACAGCTGTGCTGTGGTGCTTTCACTCCATTCACAATCACTGAAAAGCCACAAAGCCACTCAAAACCACGTAGTATGAGGCAGGTTGAAGCAAACTATATATTGATTCATTAATTCTGCATGATTAAACTGGGCAATTAAGCAGGCCTGCTCTTTCACAAATCTTACATTTACATTTAGCCTACAGCTAAACAAAATTAGGCCTCATTAAGGGAATAGCTCAGCAAGAATGTCAAACTTACATAGGTTTACCCTTACACCAAAAGTATGAGTTTTCTGACACTGAATCATACCTTTATCTACAGTTGTATGCAAACATTGAAACACTCCCAGTCAAAAGAGATGTTTTGTTGATTAAAATAAGTTAACACATCCTGTAAAGGGAACAAACCTAAATATGGCATTCTTGGCAAATTTATTACACAAGTTTTATTTATTTGCTGAGTTTAACGTATTAGAAAAATAAGGCATGCAATAAATAAATGTGCCAAAACTTTTGCACAGGCCGAATTTTATGTTTTTTTTCCCCATATGTTACATAGCAAATAAACAGTAATTGTGCATTAAAATGTGCATAAGTGTGTTCTATGTAGAGGATGTGTTCACTTATTTTTATTGATTACAAAATCAGCAAACTTTTGCATACAACTGAAAAAAGAGAGAAAAGTGTGTCACATAGCTTAAAACAGTAACAGCAGCCATCTTGAAGCCTGGATTTTTGTGTCATTGTCAGAAACCACAAGTCTATCTGAAATAACTTAAAACCAGACACGGGTGATGATTTAGGCATGAAATTTGCATGATACTAAGTGGAATGGGTTCCATTACCTGTTAACTGCGTTAGCCTCATAGCTAATAGGGAAAAAATAAATAAGCAAACTTCAAATACCAAAACTTTCCTGGCTATTCAAAAGGGGTGGGGGAAAAAATAGATTCTTAGATGCATCGCGATGCAGACGTATACGATTCTGAATCGATTCATAAATGTCAAAAATCAATTTTCTAAATATTTAATTTATAACGTAATGTTGACGGAACGCAAAGGGCATGTTATTGCTATGTTCTTTGTCCGAGCCACTTTGTTTTACATATGTTAGGAGAATAAGAGTAGCGAAAAGTGGTTGAATTAAGTTAATGTAACTGATCATTATGTAATGATCAGAATCTCAGTGTTCCCAATAAAATAGTCTTTAAAAGAGATATACAGTACCAGCCAAACATTTGGACATGCCAGATTTGAATGTATTTTGTATCTGTAGAGCTTCTTCAAACTTGTTGGAAAAGCATCTCAGGTAGAACCTCATGATGCTGGTTGAGAGAGTGCTAAGATATCAAGGAGCTACTTTGAAGAATCCAAACTATAAGAATGTTTTGCTTGTTTAACACGTCTTTGGTCACTGCGTCCTTCCATATGTGTTATTTCATAGTTTTGATGTCTTTACTGTCATTCTAAAATGTGGAAAATGGTAACAAATAATTTTTCTATAATGAAATTTGTTATTCTAGCCCATCATTACCTGCATGGACTGCTTTTTAACATGGCTCCTTGTGATCAGGTGGTTGAGCGGGAGGTCCTGTTCCGTTACGGCTGTGGAAACGTTCTCCCTGGAAGCCTACACGTGAGGGGCCACCGAGTGGCTGATGGACATTGGCATCATGTCTCTCTGGAGGTCAATGGAACCGTGCTCAGGTTGACTGTGGATGGCACCCACTCTAATTCGGTGGTCCTGCCGGAGCCTTGCAGACTTACTCAGACCCGTGGGGCCCTGCTGCTTGCCAGCCCCAACCCCAGTGCAGAGGCCCATGCACCAGGCTTCAAAGGCTGTCTGGACAATGTGGAGTTTAACGGCCGGTCTTTGAGGAGAGAGGAGGGGCTGACACGCCTGGGTTCGCAAAGAAACCGACTCTTTGGCGTGTACCAATGCTGCAGAGTGGACGGCTGCACCAGTAACCCTTGTGAGAATGGAGGGACATGTGAAGAAAACTTTAACGGAGGTGAGGATTCAACTGCATGCATTAATGAGCATGCATTAAAATAGGGATAATGCAGATGTGCCCTCTTAACCCTCTTTAGCATTTTGCATTGCCATAGCATTATGTAAAGTACTAATTAGTAACAGAATATCTGCAATAAAGTGAGCTTTTTGTTCTTACATGCCCTTGTATGGTCATATGACAATATTAATCCAATACCTGAAATACTTAAACACAGCACAAAACTAATTACAATGTGGGTTTATACATATAAGTTGCCAGAAATTTTCAGGCGTGTATAATAAGCATTTAGAGGGCCCATATAAAGAGATTGTTTCAAAAACATTTGCTCCCTAAAACAAGTTTCAGTATGTACCATTCACCCCAGAGTGATACAGACCATATAAGAGAACTAAGCAGCATAAACAGCCAGTTTTAAAATGATTTTTTTGTGATATCACAAAAATTAAGTACATCTACATTTTATCCACCTATTCAGCCTGCAGCACTTTAGCCTAGCCATTCATGTTGCAGTTATAAGGAATGTTTCAGCCTGAAAGGCTTTTTGAAAGAGGTACATTACAGAGGAGCCACTCAGAACAGCGATCATTTACATATGTCTATCTTGACGCACTGTAACAAAAGCAGCCTGTTTAATTCTAAGTGATAAAAATGTTAAGTGAACTTCAGTGAGAAAAAATAAAATGTAGAACATGTAAGATATGGGCCTTTTAAAACTACAAGTAACTGATTTTTTAATGCAGCTTTCTTTTATGATATTGCCCTTAGAAAAGAGATGAAGATCCTTCAGTGCTGGATATAAGTAGCTTCTTTGTGTGCATGCTGCCAAGAGTGGGAACAAAATTAACCAATTTGACCACTTGATGTTGTGTTTAAACGTTAGTCAATTTTCTCAGGTTTATATGAGCTGCATTTCTCAGATCGCTCTCATAACTGTGACCTTAAGCTGAAATTTCTATATGTGTATTTGTATGCAGAAGCACTGTTCACTGCAACACAATTATGGAAATGAAGCTGGGGAGATAATAACCCCAAATGTATTTCCTTTTCAAAAGATGTGTGAGTACGTCAGGCTCAGTGATTTTCGTCCTGGTCTTTGATCTCCATTCAAATAACTCTGTGTGGATCTCTGTGGATGTGCCAGCGCCAGGATGACAGCTTCTCTTTCTGAAGTTAAGACACGATGTTTTCTGAATTTTGCTCTCCAGAGTTGAGCTGCAGCTGCCCACTGCGCTTCTTTGGTGCGCGCTGTGAGCTGGATAACAACCCCTGCGCGTCTCAGCCATGCTCGCCCGGCAGCCTGTGCGTGCCAAAGCTCCAAGGCTACATGTGCTACTGCCCTGAACAAACTGCTGGAAACAGGTAAGAACCACATACTGTAGCACGGCTCAGTGTGATCACACATACCTTATCTCAGTCATGTTCTTGGCAAGGCCACTGTGGAGTCAGCACAGTTTGCATGAGAATTAGCACCATGCCTTCATGTGCTTTTCTTCTTTTCCCTCATAAATGCAAAATCCAGGCAGTATATGTAGATTGTGTGTGTGTGTGTGTGTGTGTGCGTGCACACTATAGCATTTGTTAGATTTATTTCTGTGCCTTTGAATTAATGGAATAGTGCCTTACAATTCAACCCCTGTCTGACCTCTTTCATTGGCTAATTGGCTCAAGCTTTGAAAATTTCTGACTCTAATTTCCCACAGAGATAAACTAAAGAACATCATCTTTCAGAGTACCCCCAACTGCCACGCTGTACTGTTTACCAGCATGTCAGTTCATATTGAGGATGATGGAAAATTAGAATGCATAGTGGCATATGCAGCTGCCACATAAAAGGAAACTCACTGGTATATTCCCGTTCTCCTTCATTCAAACATTTCTCACAGGCTTTTGAACACTAATGTATGGACTGTATCACTGAACATGGAAATAATACTAACATTCAAATGTAATAACCCCTTGCAGATCAATTATTATTTTACATATCTAATGCACACAGCATGTACGTAATGAATTTAGTACCTCTCAGTAATAGCACACAGAAACTGTTATCTCACTTACTTCACAGGGTGTTTGTTGGGGCTTGCTATTCTCGGCTGACTGCCTCTGCTCAAAAACATCTGGAAATGTGGGCCAATATAAATTCATTTATCCTCATCTACAAAAATTAAAAAATTCCCTGCACTGTTACAAATCTGTGGTTCCAGACTGCCGTTCTTCACTCTCATAACTTATAAATAAATACTCTTCAGTGTGCTCACAATCATCAGATTCATCCACACAGGGATGGGTCTGAAGCACAACTGACGTTACAAACTCTTCCACACGTTGCGGGCAGTTACACATTTTCACCAGAGAGGTCTCAAAAAAATCCCCTAAACTTCAATTATTTTACATTTTTTTCCATGTAACAAATGAATAATAAGCCTTAGGATATGGAATAGGGGTGGGCAATTTGATATGTTGCAATTATTGTGATAAATTATGTGACTTTTCTGAGTGTATTATCAGTGTTTTTGGAACACTGAACCACTGCACATGCTGAATGTATCATTAAAAGACAAATTGAAACCAGTTATAGAGCCTATAAACACCAGGTAACTGTACAGTAACTGGATAGTAACAAGTGTATTTTTTTTTGTCATTTTAACTATTTGTTCCTTTCCTTCTAAATTTTTGCAAATGTTGAAAGTTAAAATAATATTTGTAGTGGCAACATTATGTATGGCAGCATTCTTTAACTGGTGCATTTTGTCCATTCTAACTCAGAAAAATAAAATACTGTGGTGCATATTGTATATGTTAAAAATGTCTCACGACGTTATAACAAAAATGTAATATCATGATATATCAAAGATTCAGTGTGGACAAGCAAAGAAGCATAAAGGGTTAAAACGGCACACCAAAAGCCTCATTCTTTTTCTTTCGTTTTTCCTCTGTGCAGATGTCAGACTTTGATTGACGCTTGTTCTCCAAACCCCTGCCCCAGTGGTTTTGGCTGTAAAATGGCAGAGGGCTCCATCCATTGTGACCCGTTACCTCAGGTATCAGGAGTCATTGGATATATAGAGATTGCTGAGATCTGTGCAGGTGTGATGGGGCTACTGTTTCTGGTTGCGGCTTTTGTGTGCATTCGGAAACGTTACATCAGCCACAAGAAGCACAAGTCTGGCTGTGTGCAGGACTCCAACGGCTACTTTCCGACAGGCCTGACCAAGAGCATGATGCGTGACGGAGGGGACACACCACCAATGGAGATGAGCACCCTGATTGGCACAGGGAACAACCCTGGACCACAGCCCCTTCCGCTCCCTGAAGCCACGCGACCAGAGGGAGCTGGCTCAGTCGAGCTCGCGGACCCAGAAGGCTCAGGGCCCTGTGGTGTGCAGCGTGGCCCCTAACCTCCCACCTCCCCCCTCCTCCAGTTCCGATAACGACTCCATCGTGAAAAACAACTGGGAGGCGAGTTATGAAGGTGAGTCTATGAGTTGTTATTTTTAAATTTAGACAGAGGATGGGCAGGTTGAAGGATGGATAACTTGAGGAGATTGCAAAAAAATCCTTCTTTGTTCTTCCATAACCAGCAGGACTGAGCACCTTTTATCAAAATGTACTCACTGCCATATCTAACATGCTTACACATCACAGCTTCAAGGTCTGTTGATATGTGTTTTCATTACCAGAGTATTTTTACCACTAGAGCCTGACTGATATATCTGTGTTGAGCACCCCCAGTTTTATCACAGAAGACACTGTGGGGCCCACAGTGTGAGTCGCCCCTTGCTTAACTGTATGACAGCTAGACTGGAGAATCTGAACACAATCAAAATAAAAAAATCTGATAAATGTATCCAAACCCAAGCTTTAGCATAGGAATAAAAGTTATAACACACAAAAAACATTTTATAAAGAGAAAAATAGGAAGTAAGTAACAGAAGCCACAACCAACAACAAAGAATTGTGTTACAATATTTATATTATTGAAATCTCTGTTTGTGCTATTTTAAGAAATGTGACAGTTGAGAACTGACAATCATGTCAGTCACTAAAGCAAATGTTTAATTAAAACCTCTAGAGTATAAAATAAAATGTAATGTAAACTAAATGCATATCAACTGACATTATCATTTATCTGAATTTTTAGCACCTAAAAATTAGTATCAGACAATTAAATAATACAATATGAATAATATAATAATACATAAAATTATCAAATCCTTCATCCATGTATGTACGTCTTGATGGAAATGCAGTCATTAATTTATTTACAGTTTACAGGAAAAGAAAACTGATAATCATTATTTAAAAATCAAGGAAAGTATGAAGCTGAGTGTTGAAAAATATATCCCAAGCTCTTTTATGTTAACAAAACCTTTGCAGACAGTCACAACTTGTTTCATGCATGTCAGAGTGTAAAGTCTGAAATAGACTTACTTATGTGATTTCTGACACTATATGACATACTGTTCTCTAAAAATGGCATTGTATAGCTAAAACAGTGATAATAGTTAGCATGAAGCCAGAAAACCCATTTGAGATTACTTACCTCGATGTGGTTAGAGGCAAGTGTGTGATGATTAAGGCATGCAGTTTGTACAAGGCTAAAGCTGGTGGTTATAACCTTCCATTATTAATTTGCTGCATTAGGCTTATAACTGCAGTGCAAAAGTAAAGAAGCAATCTTCAGACACCAAACATATCTTCGCTGATAGATTGCATTTAGTGTGTGGGGGGAAATTGTGTAAATTTGAATTTTGGCTGAACTGTCACTTGATTGAGTGGAAATCAAACATTACAAAGAAGGCAAGGGGTTCTAAAACTTCTGACAGATGTATTATAAATTAGTGCATGAATTTAACATCCTCTCCTTTCTGTTTGCAGTGTACCCCGCTGATCCGGACTATTTTGGGCGCCCAAACGTGCAGGAGTTCCCACAGTTCGACATTGTAGAGAGCACATACCCCACCATGTCGTCCACAGACTCTCGGCGAAACTCTCGATTCGGGGGCTTCCCATTCCCTCTGGATCGCAATGACCGGCGCGCACCGCTTCCACCGTGTTACAGTAACCAGAACCTGGATGACTTCTTGGGGCCAGACGGCCTGCCTCTGCCCAGCTCACAGTGTCCAAACGAGTACACAGCTATCAGCTACTACCCCACTCATCACACACGCAGCATGGACAACGTATCGGCTGGCTACAAACGGCTCAGTGTGCGCCTGAGCGTGGCACAGCCTTCATACGCAGACTGCGGCTCCTCTAGCCACACATCACCTTCCAGGCGACCCCGCAGCCGCGCAGACTCGGACATGATGGAGAGTGACTATGGCAGCTGCGAGGAGGTCATGTTCTAGCATAATGTTGGGAGATGTGGCAGAAGCATGCTCAATATACTCATGAAGAGGCTGAACCCCTTAAACTCCAGAATTATTAGTCAGTTATTACATTTACGGCTTCTTATCCAAGGCCGTATTAACCTAATGGGCTTTAGGGATCTTTAGGGACCTCTGCGTACAATTACTGACATAAGTAGTTACCATTAGTCAGCGTTACGCTTTGTTCATTTTGGTGGGTGTTCACACTGGATGTGTTTTTGTACACCAAGTCTTTTTTTCTCTTTTTTCAAAGGGAGAGACACATTTTGCACACCAGACGGATGCGCTGGGTGCGGGTATCTTTTGTGTGGAGCACTCTGGGCACACTGAGTTGAGAAAATTTCAAGTTGAAGCTGTCAAGTAGCCTACTTCACAGCCATTTTTCCTGTGCTCACCAGTCAGATCAAAAGGAAGGTGGACCTGCAATAGTCACTGAGTACCCTGAACTGGATGACTTCACAGATCAAAATTAGAACAATAAAAATAAAAAAATACCCCCCCCTTACTTACTAACCTGTGCATGTAATCAGTGCTAGTGGAGAGAGACCGTCCGTTGGTGGGGCTAATTTAAGCTGTTTTTTATTCTGGTGTATGTCAGTGTTAAGTGGTCTATTCAGCATTTCTCATTTGTGATGAATGTGTTGGTGCATGTCACCCCAAAGCCCTAGACTGCCTTAATACGGCCTTGCCAGTAAGTACATTGAATGATTCAGTAGCCACTAAGACACTGATATCTAAGATATGAGTGAGAAATGGAAATCTGGACCCCTGATGGGTCCTTAGAGTTTAAGGGGGAAAGAGAAGAATGTGACTGGTGAATTTCAGGGAGCTTGATGGCAGAGTCACTGAGGCACAAGAGCTCCCTGCATCGAACAGTATTACTTTTTATTTTCAGGGCGGTGCAAAGACACATGCCTCAAATGCGACCCGCTGTCCCTCGCATAGAGAAACGGATGAGAATGTGTGGTAAATAATGTTCTTCTGCCTGCTGTTTGAGAAGATGGCTCCTGAGCACAGCTGCACAGTTTCCATCGCTCGGAAGCGTTTCATTGTGCTTACTGTTTACAATTCTTTTTCGTGTGCTGAACTGTAGTATTTGTTGCATGACTTTCTAAAGAAGTCTGAAATGTGGTTTGTGACATCTTCTGGGTTTCCAGCCGCGGATTGTGCTCCTGTGTGTTGTCATTTTAGTTTCCCCTAGTAAACAGCAGAGAAGTATACCCTTTTTATATGCAGATTTTGAAAATGATATATTTGGTGTGCCACATGCCTGATATCAAATTGGAACCACTGTGTTGAGAAAAATGAAGCCAAAACTTGTTTTTCTGCGTTTTTTCATGTCCCATATGTGCTTACTGCAACAAGCTGATGAGTAAAATTTTAATAGATGTTAAGAAATGGAAAGGAAAGCACTGTTTAAACTATAAATTGAAAAGTAGTTTATTATCACTGACATATCAAAATCAGTTGTGAATGCATTTTTTTTCTCCATTCTATATTATTTTTTCCGTGTGTGAACATTTCATGATGATTGGACTAACAGAACAGGTCCAAAATAACCTGCATTAAAGTTACGAATATTTTTCCTTCTCCTATAAACGTAACACTTCATAGATACAAGGTTTTCATAGAAATGTGGTTTGCAGAGATGAGCCCAACAGCTGGTACCAGCTGTACTACATGCCGTCCATAATGGGGGTTCCTTAAGATGAGAATGCAAGCTTGATTGATTGTAGGACTCTTCCATGTTCCTAAAGAGATACATCAGTCATTCAGTTATTTTCTTGGTCAGGCAGTTAGTGTTCTCCTCTGAGCGTGTTAAAGCACTTTGGCAATGCTGTTTGGCTAGTGGATTGAAATAATGCAATGTTTATCTTCATATATGTCAGAGGAGGTGTGTGTTACCTTTCATTCGCCATATTGGTGGAAACTGAGAAACCGATATTGGAAACTGGCCACTGCAAAATTTGGAATTGAGAGAAATAAATTAAATTTATGTAGAGTGAAGCTAAGGCTGGTCCTTTGCTATTTCCATGTATTGTTAGTAGAAATATACTATATATCAAGAATAGATTCCAGACTAAACAGATATATTTTCACAAGCATGTATGATGTTTGGGTTGCAGTGCTTTGTGAATAGTAATTAGATGCAGTATTTTTGGAATGTGAACTCATGCACTGTTTTTATTTTCCTAATATAGTAGGTGTGTAAAAAGTTTGATTATCAAAAGTAATCAAATTAGAATAAAGCAATACAAAATTTATATGCAAACTGTAATGGGTACAGTTTGCCTCAAAACAAACAAGTAAACATCAACTCTACAAATGCATTTTGGAAATGTAGAAATGTATCATAGACCTTGTTATTAACTTCTTTGTACTCTTACATTCTTAAAACGGTGTTTGCCAGTTCTACCCACACTACGTGTTTGTGGTCCTATCCTTATTGGCTTGTTTACACTTGAAAGGCGATCAATAGGAACGCAGTTCAGATGCTGGACGGCATGATCGCTGGCTTTAGAGTTTGCGATGAGGACATGAGGACGTATGGGAATTCTTATTAAAGCTGTACACACGGGTACATGCTCAGGGCTGAGCCATTGAACCGAGTGCATGTACTGCCTCTCTCTCTTATTGACCCATGGCTATGTCATTGATGTGGATAGTGCTTAGTGTTTGAAGCAAAAAAAATGAACTGTTCGTCTTGTTGCGTATGGCAGCTGTTTGAAGTATTTCTGGAGATGATTTACAGCTTGTCTCATGTCTGTCATTTAGGTTGGCCACATGAACTCTCGATGTATGTACAGTGGTCCAGTGAGTTCAAGAAAGAATGTATCTTTGTTTTGTTTTTTTTTTATTTGTTTTGTTTTGTATTTTCAAAATTCAATGTGGGACAAATCCCATGTTTTAAATCTGTTCCTCTGTGAGAGAATCCTTTGCTTTTAGATTTCATCATTATCTGAAATATTATGAAATAGTACTATATAAATAAAAATATGTGGTTAATAAATGTTTCACTGACTCAGTGTTGTATCATTGTTCTTTAGTGTGCAAACATTTATCTCTGTAACTGTTTTGGCTGAGCTTGATTCCTTTTCCTCTCTTTAAAACAGTTGCATTACATGCCCCATCACTTCTTTGCATCATTCAGTTCCAGCTGAGAGTGCAACAGCTCATGTAGCATTATAATTATATTTTTATTTAATTTGCATTCCATTTCAGAAATGGTAACGTGGCTGAGCTCTGGTCGATTGGTAGCATTTCTTAGTTCTGTGCTCAGATGTCTTCAGCTGTGAGCTTTTTCATTAGGTGCCACATGGCGCATCTACTTTTCCACTGCTGGAAAATCAAAGGTATTACATTAATGGCTGGACATAATAGAATGGAGTCATAAATCAGGACAGTGGAACACTGGGAGAGCTGAGTCAGCACCATTTGGGAGAGGCTAGAGTTCAAGGCGTCTTCGCGACTCAGCAGTTTTTTCACATTCACACAGTTCTGCCAGATGTACACTGTGATGGTATCAGGAATTCCAGATATTCAGATTGTACTTCTGAAGATCCTGAGTTATCTGGGGTGATTTGTGCAACTCTAAGCACAAATAGGTCATATCTTATCGCTGAAGCTGCATTTATTATGACTTAAAATTCTCCTGAGCTTCTCTAGTTCAGCTGCAAAAGTTTGTAGACACCTCCTCATCCAACATTTCTTCTGAAATCAGGGGTATTAATAGGGAGTTTGTTCCCTGCTTTGCTGCAGTAACAGCCTCTACTCTTTTGGAAAGGCTTTACACTAGATGTTAAAACAGCTGTGGGGAATTTAATTGCATTCAGCCACAGAAGCATTAGTGAGGTCAGGTGTCTGGATGCTTTTGGACATAGTGTAATTAAAAACATGTTTAGCTCTGAAGGTCTATGCATGTATTCCTCTAACCGCTGTGAGCAGTAAGCTGACTTTCATTGAGATGAATACATCACCAACGGATAATGTCATAGATGTTATAAAAATTCCAAACCGTGTGGAAAAGATATCCCCCTTGATTTCGTGTGCTCAAGAGAGCTATTAGCTGTCCATTTAATATTTTAATGTTGCATCTTTATTTATGACTTCTTTCAAACACTGAAATTTATCTTTATCAGGAAAGCTCAGTAGGCCGTAAGTATGATTACTGGATTGGGGCGGAATTCATTACCACATGAGCTTCTTTTCATTCACGCTGGCTGTGGTCCATACAAACATTGGTCTCAGTGCATCATCAGCAGATAATTTCATAACTGCATATGAGTTGCATATACATAAAAATCATGAAATCAACCATCAAATTAATTCTGCTCTCAGTTAAACTAAGTAAACACTGTTCAGAGTAAAATCTGCAGTGTAATATTAACTCCTACATTTGAACTCAGTAGGAGTTCATTTACTCACTGCTCTCATAGCAGTATGAAGTTGAAAATTAGGCAGGGACCATACATCTAAATGACCTCTGTTTGTTAAGCCATGCAAAGTGTAAAGGAGAGTGCTGTTTCAGCGTTCATCAGGGCACAAGTTAAAAGCAATATCAGGTGCCTGAAAGTGGTAAATAATAAGCAGTATGTAACCAACATGCATTTCTCCAGCGCTCTGAAGATGCACTACTCCAGCCAAATATTCCACTATGCATTCCACTATGCAGCCATGTTTTATATATATATATATATATATAGGTAGTCATTTCAAGACACCAGAAGTGAGCTGCTTAGGCACGAGAGGCCATTTGAGAGAAACTCTCCATTCACTTTCATTCATTTCAGGCTGATTTCAGTCCAAAAATAAACCCACCACCTTGTTTTAGATCACCTTATGGTCCTGTCCTCTTCTAATGAGGCTAGGACTATCTGTCCTTTGACCCACAGGCCTGTCAATCACTTTATGCCTTCAAAATGAACATTCGTCCACGACAGTATATAAAAAAATACATGTTTTAAGCTATGTTCTTGTAGGCCTAAGACTTTTGCACAGAACAACTGTATTTGATGGAGAGGTCACACATAGTGTTAGAGGGTAAATCCTCTTAATACAGACTGTGCCCTCTAGCAACTGACCTGCTACTCAAACATTTATAAAAATCTCTGTCATTGAGTACTTCAAGGCCTACAGCCAGACTACTGTGGAAAAGCAGTCTCTGAGTAAGCACCGTTCTCTGTCTCTCTTTCTCTCTCTCTTTCTCTTTCTGTTCATCCACAGTTTCACTATAAATGGAAAACAGCAGAGGTGCTACACCCACATGTGGACCCTCAGCACAAGTGGCCAGCCATGTGCACAGGTTGCATTCATTTGTATCCCATGCAAACAAGAGAGGCCGGTCATTCTCGTGACCCAAAACCGTTAGATGGTCAGCAGTGCACCATGGGCTCATGTACACAGCCTAGTGCATTTGTACTGGTTTATAATGCAGAAAGAAGATGACACATTAACAACGTGGAAAAGCAGGGATGGCTTTTTTTCCACCAACCCTTTGAAGAGGTTTGTTCACAAATGAATGTGAATATAAAATACGGACATCTCAAAGCTCGTCTATTCAGAGAGGGAGAACTCCCCCAGCCCTAAGGATGATGATTTTCATTAACTCCTATTACACAGTGTTAGAGCCGCCAGACCAATGCCGCACGGATGAGGGGCCGAATTGTAATTCCCTTAAAAATGAGCCGAAGGTGATTACTCACCCACTCTGCACAAACACACGCTTTTGAATGGCAGGAATGAATGAATGAATTTCAATTTTAGGTAATAATTCTTTCGGCGCGCCGCTTCTTTTTTTTGCTTGCTCTTGTTGAGTGTAATTACTGAAGAAAAACAAAATGAATTCTGAAGGTAATTCTCAGAGGGGAACTGAAAATGCACAGTTTCACATGTTAGCCCTGCTATGCCTCTAGTTAATGAAGTTTCATGTGGAGTGTTCAAAACAAAAAATAAACATCAAAATGCAAAACTACAGTGTAAATGCAGTATGATTTCCAGACAATTAGCTGATTATGAAAAAGTGTAGCCTTAACTCTTAATAGAGTAAATCAAAGTCGTTCCAAAAAAGCTGGGACAGTTTGTGAAACACAAATAAAGAGAGAAAACTGTGAGTAAGTAAGTAAAGTTGTTCATTTATTTTGCACTTGTTCACAGACAAAAGTCACAAAGTGCTTTACAGAAGCATTTCTCAATATAAAAGATTACACACACAAACAAAATACATATGAAATGCAGACCTGGTGCACACAAACTACCCAACGCCTGTTTGCTTTTTAAAATATTCCACAGAATCAGGAGACCTTAAAGGAGTGGGCAGAGCATTCCACAGTTTAGGTGCTATGACCTCAAATGCTCGATCACCATGAGTCTTTAAGCAAGTTACATGGAACAGACAGTAAATTTAACTTATTTGACCTAAGAGAATGAGCTAATAAATGAAGGGTGAAGTGGATCAGCCACATATGCAGGAGCTTGACCTTGCAGCACTCTGGATCCTATATACAACATGAAGCATGAAGAAATATTAATAATGGGGTTTATATGAGGCCATCTGTTAGACCTAGTAAACAGTCCTGCAGAAGCGCTCTGAATTGTCTGCAGTCGATCAAGGGAAGGCATATTACCCGAGGAAAAAAGAGCATTACAGTTGTGAGATGAAATAAAGGTGTGTACAAGCATCTCTAGCTCTTCATTTGAAACTACAGATCTCAGTTTACTGGTATTTCTTAAAAAGGAAAAAACAAGATCTTGTCAGCTGCTTAACATGGGTATCGAATGACAAGGATTGATCAAAAATAACCCCTAGCAAGCAAGAGTGGGCGGGAGAGGAAAGAAGCCCAAGACTTTGTTTAATCATAGCGGTAACCTTTTCTGAAGCAGCAATCAAAACCTCTGTCTTATCTGCATTGAACTGTGAGAAACTGTCCGCTGTCCAATCCTTAATAGCATTTAGAGAGTCTAGGAGCCTAGATAATCTACGAACCTCACTAGGTTTCAATGAAATGTAGAGCTGGATCATCACCAGTGATTTGTTTTTAAATAAAAACAGAACAAAGACAAGATATTTCATGTTTTACCTTACCAACTTTATTGTATACACTCATTATAAAATTGATGCCTCCAACAGATTCCAGAAAAGTTGGAACAGGGGCAATTTAAGACTAGAAATGTTGTGTAGTGTTCAAAAAACAACTTAAACAGGTAATGCAATCATGCTTGGGTACAAAAGGAGCATCCAGGAAAGGCCTAGTCCTTGATGAGCAAAGATGAGGTCAAGGCTCACCAGCAGGGTTGGGCAAAATACTTTAAAACTGTACTGATGGCTGAATACCGAATACACTGTCCAGAATGTATTCAGTAATATTTTCTGTTACATTATATAAAAAGCAATGTATTCAGAATGCATTTAGAATACATACTGATAAAGTACGTGGGAAAAACATGCTGTAATTTATATTTATTTCCCACTGTTTCTTGCTGTTACTAGTTGGCAATTTGATTCATATAATTCTTCCAATAATATGTTTCATGAAAAGCTAAATTATTCAAACGTTATTTTGACTCTTATCACCTGCTTCACTCCACTGCTGCTCCCATAATCCCACTGCCCTTTCATGACGTAAACCAAAAGTTCACCACATCCCAATAACAAAATCTCGCAAATTTGACTTTAATGTGAGTAGCTGTGTGATTTCAGTTAATAACGTATGTAACATGTCACAGAATGCATGCACAAGTCCAGGATAGTACCAAAGCTGAGCTTATCACTATGAACATGTGCAGTACTGAGGAGACTGTACAGTTCAATAATCCCTCAAAATAGTTTACTAAACCTCAGAATAATTGACTAATCACAGTGATTTATCAGTCCGCTCAGGCTTTAGGAGAAACCTTCAGCATTTCTAAAGAAGCCATTTTTACTTAACAAGTAGTGAGAGTGTTTCTTTGAAAGATGGTATATATTCTAAAAGTATTCTCCTACAAATATAAAAAGCTTCTGTATGTAATACTGCCTTTATAAAATAATAACAATTAAAATAATAATTACATAAAAATAATAATTTGGACTGAATACAGGTACTTGATTTTTTGTATTCTGAATATGTATTCTGAATACTTGTATTCTGTTACATCCCAACTCTGCTCACCACTTTGCCAAGAAAATGCATCTGCAATTAATCCAGCAAAATCCAACAGTTTACCTTAGTGAGTGACTGCAAGGATTTTAGGTGCATAACATCAAGATTTTGAGAATCTCTGTTCATAAAGGGCAAGGCCGAAAACCATGACTGACATTAAATCCCTGAGACAAAACTGCATGGAAAACCAGCATGCTTATGTGGTGGATGTCACTACACTGACAAACTGTTGTCAATAAAGACAGTTTGTCGCTGCACCTACAAATGCAAGTTAAGACTGTACTATGCAGGGTAGAAGCCACATCAACAACTTCCAGAAATTCAGCCAAATTATCTGGACTTGAGCTCATCTGAAATGAACTGATGCATGGTGGGAACGAGTATTGTGGTCTGACAAGTCAACTGTTCTGGGTCAAACGTTCTGTGTCTTCTGAGCCAAAAAACATAAGGACCAGATTGTTACCAGCATCAAGTTCAGAAGCCAGTGTGTGTTATGGTATTGGAGTTTATTAGTGTCCATGGCATGAATAATTTCACATCTGTGAAAGAATCACTAACGCTGAAATATACAAACATGTTACAGCAACATACGCTGACAACGTCTTTTTCGGTGACGTTTACAAAGTCATGGCTGCGTAATCAGAGAGTGCAGGTGCTAGACTAGCCCACCTGCAGTCCAGACCTGTCTCCCATTGAAAAAGTTTGGGCATTACTACACACAAAATATGACAACAGAGGCTCACAGCTGATGACTTATAATAGGAATATGATAGAAGAATGGCAAGAAAATTCAACTGGATTAGTTGGTAAAATGCCCTGCGATGCACTGGTGACCTGTGCAGGGTGTATCCTGCCTCCCGCCCAATGACCGCTGGGATAGGCTCCAGCCCGCCCCCCCCATGACGCAGAAAGATAAGTAGTTTAGAAAATGTGTGTGTGTAGTTAGTAACATAATGGTAAACATGATCCTACGCCCAAATTTTTGGAAGATGCTACGGATACCACATATGGAATGAGCATGCATTTACAAAAAAAACAAAAAACAAACAAACAAACAAAAAAAAACAAAAATAAACAACAATGAAGTTGTTGAAAAAATTAAACATCAAACATCACATTTGTTTTCCATTTAATACAGGTAAGCCCCCTAAAATATTGACTGGGCCCCTGATACAGGTACTGACAAAATTATACATCCATGATTCACATTCACAGAAAGTTGCAGTTTCGTTACAAAATACTTCACTAGTTCACCACTTCTATAATACACAGACAGCCCTGAAGTCTATTAAGTCTACTAAGTCTTCCTCTTCTACATAATACACCTCATCCATGGCAACTGTTTTTAAAAAGATCCTTCACAACCTACATGATATATTTATTATTTATAACTCTAAACTCTTACATTTGCAGTCTGCATAACCATTTAGGTTAAGATTAGTTTCTGCTGGGTGGAGTGGCATGGCCTGAGAGCATCAATTTGTTTGAGACATAACAATAGGGAGTAAGCAAGAAAATTACATACTGAAAACAATTTTCATAAGGGTTATGTTAGGCAGTCATTTTTTTGCACTGAGGCCAATGTGATCCTAGTTATGCCACTGCATCTAGGCCTCAGATGTAGTAAAAGACGCATACACTAGTATTCAGTCCAAACAGTGCCCTAGACCCAAACAATAATTATTATAAGACATAGGCTAACAGATGAGGATATAGAGGAATATATTATGAGGAAAGGCTGGCCAAACTGATGATGCCAAAAATGTCATCTTTAAAAATGACAGTCTCTGAGATTGATAGGTAAACATTTGGTGTAATTTACTAAACCTTGGGCCCAACGATCAAATATCATCAAATATGGCATTACAAACAAAAGAGGTGAAACATAACATATGGTCAGTGGAAGCATTTTAAATCAAGTGTCAACAAAGGCCATGATGGATGAAGTGCACTTGCAGGACGACAAGTGCACATACACAGAGGTTGATCATAAATTCAGCGGCTGAGGATGCTTTGTGTGATGAATGAAGCCATGTTTAGGTCTTTGGAGCTCCTCTTACAGGCATTAAATGGTCATCAGCGTGCGTGTTAAGGGACATTCTGTCCATTTGTGGCTGAATAGAGGATACGCATCATGGTAAAACTTAAAGGATCCATGTCATGCGTTCTTTCTCGCATTTAAGTGAGATCCACCTATGATGTTTGTGGGGTTCTATGTCCCAAAAACATTTTCAATTGAACATTTTCCAACCTCTCAGTATCCCTTACAATTGAACAGGCTGTTTTTGTTACTGTGCTTTGAAGACTGATATATATGAACAAGCTCTGTTCTGATTGGCTGCCTTGTTCTGTGCCACATTTAAAAAGCAGTCCAGGTTGAAAGACTCCTCAACATTAATGAATGGGGCTAAAACTCCTGTAGGATAAAACTGCACTTTTTGGTGACATCTCTTCAACAATGAATTTAAAACAGGCTGTTTTTGCAGCTTAATTTCTATACATCATTGCAGTGTCTTCAAATTGGCAGCTTTACAGGAGTAGAAAAAATGTTCTTAACTTTTAATGTATGTTAATGTAATGAGAAAATTCATTTTGGAAAATTAATCATGAAATTTTTACACACTATGGGGCAGGGTTGGAGAACTGTGGTCAGGAATCAGGGGGGCTGATTCCTGAATAATTTGGTGATGTTGCTGCTCAAACACACCTGATTAAATTAATTTGTTAGTTTCTAGTTTCTGCTGGTGTGGGAAATCAGAAAACTTTGCTGGCCTCCAACCCTTTGTTCCCCACCCACTTATAACAACTCTTACATAAAAAAACACTACAATGAAAACCAGCAAAACCAGCATTTCAACACTGCCTGAATAAAAACCTTGTATCTCCATTTTTATGTTATTTTTATATTTTTTTTTGTTTTTTTTTGTTTATTTTTTGTTTTTTTTTGTTTTTTTTGAAAACACCAGCTGTTCATAATATTGTGTCAGAATATCATAATGAAATGGCCTAGAATAAGATCTTGTTATATTGATGTACACTGAGATTTCTTCCCAAGTAAAGTTACCTTTTTGGAGATACAAGGTTTTGTTCTTCTTGTTTGTTGTGTTTCGGATGCTGGTATGCTGGTCAGCAGCAATGGGAGTTATGCTGATCATCACCAGCTCCTGTTGTGTTTCAGATGCTGCTATGCTGATCAACCAGAATGACCATCCTGGGTGACCAGCTAAACCAGCACCAGAAAAGCACCAGACCAGCGAGGAAAAGCAATGAAAATCAGTTTTCTATTATACTGGTCATTTATGTGACTCCAAATTCAGCCGCAGTGCAATGAAGGGACTCCGGGTTTCGTGATGTGCGGTGTTTTTTCTCCTAGTGCCATAACCGCCTCCTGATGTCTGGTGGCTTTTCTCCCTCACACCTGGGACTGTAGCACAAGCATTAAGCAAGGAGGTGGCACTTCAGGTGCAGAGAGAGCGCAGCAGAGAAAAACCGGGGACGTGTTGTTTTTTTCAACCCGCATTCCAATAAGCCACGCCTTCCGCGCTTGGGTTGACAAGTAGAGTCGCGCCCGGTGCGCTACTATTGGCTGGCGGTAACCCCTTCTGCGCTACTATTGGCTTGTAGTTCCACACAAGCAGTCCGCTGGAATGATGTTAGCCCCACCCACAGCCTTCGTGGCTTCCAGTGCTGTTAGCCAATCGTAGTGAGGGGAGGCCAGCTCCTACTGGCCAATCCTCGTTCAGGAAGGAGGGGCTTGTCGGAATACAGGCGGGAAAAGACAAGTAGACTTAAGGCGCGCGGCCAGGTCTCTCTCTCTCCGCTATCAGTGGCGGTGCAACAGATGAGAAGTTTTTTCACTCCCCTTTTCCAGCGGTTTGGCAGCCGTTATGCGCGAGCAGCGATGAAAGAAGCACAGCTGCACTTCTGTGAAGATAAAAAAACGGACTTATGGACGAAGGGCTGATGACCATTCGAGGCAGTGGTTTACTGAAGTAACCGAGACGCTAACGACAAATGCCATCTCCCATAATTCTGTGGCGAGCTTTAATTTTGCTGTTAACGCTCTGATTTTTTTAAAAATGTTTTTGAAAATTTATTTACATTTTATGACACAAAAGATATTTGTGAACTTCACTGTCGCTGTGCGTACCCGTGCGCTTCTGTATAAACACTGCATGTCAATTTTTCGTGGAGCAGTGTCACAATAAAAGCACCGCGCAGCGCTCGTGCTGCTCCAGAGCGCGTGTTTTGTGCGGGAGATGTGGCGCGCGGCGCGGCTGCAGCGTCTCGTGCCACTGAGCGACTCCGATGAGAGCGGCGCGGCGCCGGAGGCTCGAGCTCCCAGGCTGCACGCTCGCGCTCAATGCACGCGCGCCTCACTGCATGCCGGTGGCACGCGGGGCCGTGCCACTCCCCCCTGTCCCATGGCGCGGAGGACGCAGTGAGCATGGTGGAGGCGACGGACGGAGCTCTGAGGAACGCTTCCGCTGGAGAGGGGCGCAGCAAGAGCCTGCCTTTTCCCTGGGTGGTCACGCTACTGTCCAGCGTGCTCATCACCACCATCGTCGTGGACGTCCTGGGCAACCTGTTGGTCATCGTGTCGGTGTTCCGAAACAGAAAACTCAGGAAAGCAGGTAAATGGCGAGTGTGCGTTTTGCTTTGGGCCATTCTGGGTACTGTTTACTCCGCAGGGAGCTAAAGGTGGACTGCTGTGTGTCCACTGTTCTATAAACGCATGCACTGGTATGTAGTGTGCCCTCACTGTCTGTCATCTGGACACATCATAGAGCTTATGTATGAGTGCAGCACAATCTGACCTTTTCCCATCGAGGTTTGGGCATGAAGTGGTCGGGGTTTTGTTATCATGCCTGAACAGTTATGACTGACATTTGAAAGTTACAACCTGAGTGAAAGAGACGGAACGTAAACAGGTAACTTTCTGCACTTGTGTGTCAGGTCAGGTCTTCCTTTACAAGAGTGCTGTTTGAAAAGGCTGCCTTTATCTATGTAATATGTGATTACTCTATGAATGTAACATCCAAGTCCATGCATTTCTTTGGAAATATTTTGCCTGATGGTGAGGCTTTTAAAGGCAGTGTCCACTTTTGGTTATCTTTCAACAGAATTCAAAGCTCCTCTGCCACTGGTTTCTGAAGGTTTTAAAACTTGGGCATTGATGAAAATAAATGTGCCAAAAATGGTAACTTTCAGTTCCATAAAGAACATGGAAAAATATGCAGCTTTTAACCTTATAAAAGTACGTAACAGCGTTGAAATGCTGAATTAATTGAATTTCATCACAAATTATTTTTCTGTTAATGTTTCAAGTTTAATGAGCTCAAAATTTCAAGTTAACCAGGTTACTTGCTGTTTTTTTTTTAAGTGTAAAAGCTGCCTAATTTGTTTTACTGTGAACTTTTTAGTGGATGCTCAATTCTCAATTCTCAATTGAAACCTCTCAATTAAAAGGTCGTTTAAGGAACCAAAAGTGGTTCTTCTGTGGTATCGCTCCCACGGACACCTTAATTTTTAAGCCATTTTTTGAAATTTGCATATTGTTGCACTGCAAAAAACGTATCTCTGAAATGGTAACTTTACATGAGAAGGCAAACAGTTCTTTCAATGCAAGTTAATGTAAATTTGATTTAATTTTTTTACATTTCCACTGGCCCAATCATCCTGGAATTTTCACAAAATGTGGACTGTATTCAAATGATATGGTGTAATAAAGATAAAAAATGTCAATACATGTTTTCTTTTTATGACAGCGATGATGTGCAAAGAAGTTCTTTGGAAAGAGACAATATCATATTCCAGAACTGTTCTTCTCATAGAGGTGCTTTGGTCATATAAAACAGCAGCTCCTCCAGTTTCATCTCTTGCACTCACAAGATTCTGTTCAAGGATCAATACTGAGTACACTCCCTCCAAATATTCTTCTGAACAGAGATCAGATTTTCTGTTGTCAAGAGTCCAACTCATATAGATGGTATTGCAATCAGCACTGTTTGTTCTCACAACGTTCAAGTTCAGTCCCCCAATCAATGCAGTGCCCAAGCTATGTTTTTAATCCGAGTTGACCTTTAAAGCTATGTGAATGTACAGCAGAAAGTCATGGCCGATGCCTGCAGAAATGCTGCTCCTCAGACAGTGATTGATCATGTCTGAGATAGAACATAGGTCTACTTATTGGAACCATAATAATTACTAATGACCCTGGCAGGTGATAAGTTCAACACATTATAAGTTAATACATATTTCAGTGATGCATGTTTAATACCCATCACATTCAAGGTGACTTCATTTTTAATTTTACTGATCAGTTCCAGATTAAGGAAAAATGAAATAATGTGTCATTTAAGGCTGGGCAATAACATGATGTAATGATATACTATTATTCTTTTTTATTACAAAAATAGATTTGATTTCCAATTTCAAAGATATTACAACATATATTAATATTAACACATCTGCATCACATTATATTAATCCATAGTCTATTGCTATAACATTCAAGTTGAATGATGGCGAAACACGACCTATGTTGCAAAACAATGTGTGAAACTACCTGCAAAAGCAGGGCAAAAGCACTGCTTGACCTAAAAGTGTTACATATGGTTTAATCTCTGAGAATGAAACAGTGGAGGAGAAAGATGATTGGTCTATCCCTCCTGTCTCTGCATGATATAGCAGTTAGCTGTTAACACAGAGTGGAAGAGTTAAGCACTTAGAGTAGAGTACCATGTCTTTAGGAGATGCTTATGAGTATTAGGAGTATTCATTTTTCATTGTTAGGAAAAAAGCAAAAAAAAACATGTATTGACACAGAAAATTACACAGACAACTAAATATAAACTCTAATTTTTCTGTATTCATTTCCTTTATTGCAGCTTCCATTCTTTTTGGAAGACTTGCTTTCAGATTTTCAAAGAAATCTGCAGAATGTTTTTTCCACTCCCCCAAAGTCCAGTCTTAGAAGTTGGTTGTATTTTCTGCAGTCCATTGTTCTGAGAACACCAGCAGCTTCTTGGGTTGATTTGCAAAGAGCTTCTTGACAGCTTCAAACTCATGGTGTTGAGTTGTCTTCTCACAGTGGAAGGATGGACAGAAACATCCGTGGATTTTTTCAGATCTGAAGTAAGAGTGCAGCTTGATTTTCTCCTCTCTCTCAAAGATGAAAGCTTTAAGTGCTGTTTATCTGATGGTGACAGTTTTGGTCTTGCACTTTTTTAATATTGAACAATGTATTTTTTTTTAAATGCCATTTTGGAAACTCCTGTTTTTTCATTTATTTTCCTTTGACTCTCGCTGTCCTTATGCAAGTGGATTGTCATGTCTAATCTCCTGAGAAATATCTCCTGAAAAATGAATAACTTACTTAATGATCACTTTGACTGGAAATTAAATAAATGAAGGATGGTCTCTGACTTTTGCACTGGACTGTATTTTGTCAGAATATTTCAAAATTATTAAAAGAATATATTTCAGTATATTTCCAATGTAATACTTTTTGTATAAAAAGGTCTGTTTCCATATTCTGCCCTGTTAAAAGACATTACAAAGACATTCACATGATAATGTGAATTCTAACTGGCACACACTGAGTTCACAGAAAACTGTGAAAATGACGACTGGCCACATTGTCTAATGTGTGTCATGGCCACAAACTTGACTGACTCAATGTTTAGCACACAAAGACAGAGAAGATTTTTCCTATAATTATTAGCACTGATTCCTACGCAGGCCCCTTATTTCAGTCCAAATGACGCACAACTTCTGAATTTAATTTGTGGCCCAAAGTGAGAAAACCTGCTTAATGTGAGACGACATGAGCCCATTCATCAATTTCCTCCAGATCGATTTAACACAAATGGGTTTATCAATAAGTTTGCCCTTGTGTGGGTACATTAAGGGTACAGAAGAAGTCCACATGAATGTCTGTCTAATCTCTGTCAAAACTATGAACCTTACTTTATATCCTTCATTGGCTCATGATTAATACTAATGTCAACTACACCTTTCAGGCCAGAATTCACAAGGTCTTCTTGTCAAGGTTAAAGCTACACATTTACCAAGAGAGGATGAATGTTTCTGACTAAAACATGCATAGTCAAGAACATCTGCTTAATATTGCCCATCTCCAGACAAGCTAACTGTGAATTCACTGTAGAAAGAAGAATATTCCAACACAGAGCTCAGCCATAAGTCAGTGCTGGCACACTCGTAGAGCCAGAACTTCATGCCTTCATCATGCTAAAGTTGTGTTCCTTTAGAGCCTGTGCCAGGCCTAATTTACAACACTCGCAAAAAAAATTTCTGTCCCTGGCTCTTCAAAGATAAGTGCAGCCTTGCATATTCAGTGCCTTGCTGTTGATACCGGAGACGGTGAAGTCCATTCTCAGCCATACTATCTCTACTGTACAGCACTTCAACCATGGGCCTTCTCGTTTACTCATTCAGTTGACCTCAGGCGGTGCATTAATTCTATGAAAAATTCACACCATGGCTCAAAGATTTTCCCCAAGATGATTCTCCTTGTGTTCTATTTGAAAGCTACAGCACCTTCTCCCTTCTCTGCTGCCTGCCTTTTTACACCAAACGTGGTATGGACAAGTTGCATTATAGCATACATTCTGCTGTCCCGCTAATGCTGCTAATGTAGTACTAGATGAGCAAAGTAATGGCTAGCAGTGAATTAGTACTGAGCTAACAACAGCTAAGACAACCACTCTTGCACCTCATGAGGAGTATTTGTCAAGCTGTTCAGTGTTGTATGCGAACTAGCTAGCTAGCTTTCAGTGACCCAGCTAACTGATCAGACAAACGCACTGCACACGAAAGCACTGTTAACTTTGTTTGAATGCAAAGGGGACCTGCTGCAAGATGATCTTCCAGTTTCTTTTTGTATGTGCGCTAAGATCCCCCTCAGAGTACTGTGGCTATCATGTTAGCGATGTAGTCCACGTAGCAGTCCAGCAGGCTCATATTGAAGGATTAGCTGCTGCATGGCTGGGTGTGAAATGTGTGCTCAATAATTCTGGAAATTCAAAGCATCGCCTCCGGTCACACAGTTGGGCACCTGAGCCACAGCAACACTTTGTTTTCAGCAGGCAAGCAGAAGAAATACTAATCTAAGAGAGATGGGGGGAAATCACTTTGAAATTGAAAAAGTTCTAATTGAAACAGTTATTTTAACACACTGACATTTTATTTCTATCTAGGTGAGTGGGCTCAGCAAGAGCAAAGATTTTTAATTTCTGAAATTGAAACTCTGTGAGTGTACAGTACTGATTGCTAGAGCTTCCCTTAAGTGATTTTCCTGCAATTTTACATGCTTGTCAGTTGCTCACACGAGGCAGCCAAATCCCTTCTGGCTGAACAGGTGGGTTGTTCCTCTACTGTGTGCGTTGAAAGTATATCTGAACCTGTTCCTAAAAGCATCATTTCAGTACATAGCCCATGCAAAGTCTAATAACACAGAGACTTACTAATAGCCTTAAGCTTCCTTTCATCCTTTTCCAAGCAATCTTATTAATTTACAACTCCCAAAATCCCTCTGTTGATATGTATATCATATCAAACACAGCCTGCCTGTTCAGATTCTTTCTCTAGCAATTCAAAATGTATTAATTTTGTGATGTGTACATGATATAAATATGTGTATATTACAATATGTACATTACAAATGTACCACAGAAGTTAATGATAGAAGGTATACAGTATACAGCCTTCACAACCTTAGAGTGTCAGTAGCTGATTGAGGTCATTTGTATGATAATAATGAACTTCTTAATCACGCCTCACTCCACGAGATTTGATTCCAAGTAATTTTGGACCATTTCCATTCATGATGAAATGTCCACACTATAAAGGGCAGATGACATTTTCATATTATGTAAAACAACAGGAATAGCGTTATGAGGTTTTGATATGAAAAAGACAAAAAACAAAATGCCAAAAAAATAAAAATAAGGAGAATTAAAGAATATAAAAATACATGTTTTTAAATCTTGGGCTGGTGGCACTGAGAACAGTATGTAAAAGACAGAAGGAGCCCTTAATGATGTTTTGAGCCTTGTTTAGACGTGGTAGACATCTTCAGTGGGTGGAGGATCAGTCTGTGAGTTTCTGAGCAGTTCTGATAATTCTCTGTACAGCTTTGAGGTCCTGCGCTGTACTATCCACACTAAATAGTGGTGAAACCTGGTAGAATGCTATTGACAGTGGATTGTGTAAAACGCTCTTTAGTTTTAATGATAATGAAGTTGATGGTCCAGAAACCTAAAGTTGTCCACACCCTCCACAGGGGATGTAGACTTGCCCTAAAGTCCATAATATGTTCCTTGGTTTTACTGAATTTAAGAGCCATATTATTTTCTTGGCAGTGCACTCCAAGATCCCGTACCTCTTTGCTGTCGGCCATCTCATCTTCATCACATATCAAGCCAAGCATGGTGGTGTCATCTGCAAATTTAATTATGTAATTACTACTGTGTTTGGCTACACAATCATGAGCAACCAAAGAAGACAGTAGATGGTTTAAAAGCCCTGAGGTGAGCCAGTATTGAGAATTAATATAGTTGACAGAGCATCACCAACTACAATGTGAAACACAATAAAGACTGTTTATGTCGAGATATTCTCCGCAGTAAAAATATCTGTTATATATTTAAAATAAGCCAAAAAATTATACCTAGGTCCGTAAACAAATACTAAATTTTCAAATAACCTGAATTTTCTAACTTATCTGGCATAGCCTATTAAGCAAAATGGCCACATCTGAAACTATTACTAATTAACAGCAAACTATTATAGATATATTTCAAACAAAAAAAGATGAACTTATACAGTGTAAGATACAGTGTGAGTTATTGTTCTGTAGGTCAACTGGTAGTATGTTAAATTGCATATGCCTAATTACAAAGACAAATCACCAAATCAATGGGCCGATGATTGAAAAATACTTGTTTAAAATGTGGATATTCAAACAGCAAAAATGGTTAATGCCCATCCATGACCAGGATCCATACAGAATTGCTGTGTCTACACAACAAGGGTTTGTGTCTGTGCAGCAGGAGTGCAAAGATCACACTGGCTGAACTGGCATATACTGATATTGGCTAGTGTGTAATTTTGAATTGCAACCTATATGGCAAGCATTCAACATTCAAACGTTTAAGATTGTGTTGCATTTTCAATCTTTTTCATTCTTTCTTTTTTAGGGAATGCCTTTGTGGTGAGTTTGGCTGTAGCAGATCTAGTAGTGGCCATCTACCCTTACCCATTGGTCTTGACTGCTATCTTCAATGACGGTTGGATTGCAGGTAACATCCATTGCCAAATCAGTGGCTTCCTGATGGGGCTCAGTGTTATTGGCTCTATTTTCAACATCACGGGCATCGCTATCAACCGCTACTGTTACATCTGCCACAGCCTTAAGTACGACAAGCTCTTCTCCAGCAAGAACACTGTGTGCTACGTGATCCTGGTCTGGTCGCTAACCATCCTGGCCATCGTGCCCAACTGGTTCGTGGAGTCTCTGCAGTACGACCCACGGGTGTACTCGTGCACCTTTGCCCAGTCGGTCAGCTCGCTCTACACCATCACGGTGGTGGTGGTGCATTTCATCCTGCCCATCAGCATCGTCACTTACTGCTACCTGCGCATCTGGATCTTGGTCATCCAGGTGCGCAAGCGAGTCAAGCCCGACATCAGGCCTAAGATCAAGCCACACGACTTCCGTAACTTTCTGACCATGTTTGTGGTGTTCGTGCTGTTTGCCGTGTGCTGGGCGCCGCTAAACTTCATCGGCCTGGCAGTGGCCATCTACCCCAGACTGGGCCAGGCCATACCTGAATGGCTTTTTACAGCCAGCTACTTTATGGCTTACTTCAACAGCTGCCTAAATGCGGTTATCTATGGCGTCCTCAATCACAATTTTCGAAAGGAGTACAAAAGGATTGTGCTTGCTGTTTTCAAGTTCCATTGTTAAGGATTTTTTCAAAGAGGAGACGAGCACTGTGACTTAACTGGACAAAGAGAACACTATTCAAATAGACAGGCACTGACTGAAAGAGAAGTAATGGTGCAACTATTGACAGCGGTGTTTGGGATGGGTATGCCCATGTCAAATAACCCATTTTGCTGTTTGCTTTTTGTTACAAAAGACATGGACACATACAGTCTTGTGTTTGAGTGTGTTGCTTGTACATCCTTATGTTTGCACCGAGTGATTAATGTATGATTCAAAAACATATCTTTGGCAGATTGTTATGATAACCATCTAAATGTGCAAGAGAACTCATCCTTATGATCAATGCTGCTGGAACCTGAGGAAAAGGGCTGGGTATCGGCAAAACATTTAAAGATCAATACCAATACCAATACCTTGAGAACAATACCGATGTCTGAACGATACTTTTTTCAGTACCTTCTTTTAAATTACAAAGCAGGTGTGGCTTAAACAAGAAATTAGTGTAAAATGTTAGACATGAGCACATTAACTAAAGAGATTGAGGAGTTCACTTTACAGTAAGGCATTGTTCATAAGGCTACATGACACCTACAAAAGCTTATCATGACAACTGCCATAAACTTATATAAACATTTATAGTTTTTGTATATCTTTCTGACATAATGCTAATGATGTGACATGACATTTCACCACAGAAAATGTCAAGACACAACCTAATGTCTAAGGTCAATGTCACCTGATTTAGATGTGACGACTTCAAAGCTGGCAAATGCATCCTTTACTTGATGCCTACTGGAATAAGTGTTTTATGTCAGTTGTCATAAAATGCTTATGTAGGTATCAGGTAGCCTTATTAACACTACCCTGCAGTAAAGTGTCAGAAGATCCATGGTGTGTCAAATGTCTATACAGATCTTTTGTTTTTCTTTTTGCATATTATTTACCACAACCCAACTGTTGAAAACATATTCTGTTTTTAGTGATGTAATCATAAGATTGTGAAAGCTAACAACTTTGGAAAACAACTGTGTCCGTCTTAAATAATTGCAATCAGCTCAAATAATTGTGATCGGCTCAAAAACTGCGAACAAGTGGCTATGTAATAATTGTGACAGGCCCAGTTACCAAGAACATGCTTACAGAATGTAATTGAATGACATTTGAGCACTCGTTTTAAATGCACATAACCAAATGGCAAAAATGGTTAAAACGCCTAGCCCTATGCAGAATCCAGTCACATACAGAGTTGCAGAAACCCAAAGCCCATAGTGTGATGACCAGTTGCTGCATCTATGCAAAAAGCGTATTCAGCAGAGGTTTTGAATTGAAGACCATATATTCTAAGTATCTGCCCTGGGCAAACCCCACTCTTAGATTTGTCTAAAACTTTGATTGGGCCTATTTTGTAGTATTTGCTATACTGGTATATACTGGTTAGTGTGCCATTTGAATTGCAACCTAAAGGGAAAACATTCAACAGTCTGTGATTCAAAAGACTGTGATGAATTTTTAGTTGTTTTCTTTCTTTCTTTTACAGAAAATACCTTTGTGGTGAGTTTGACTGTAGCAGATCTAGTAGTGGCCATCTGCCCTTTCCCACTGGTTTTGACCACTGTCTTCAGTGCACTGCACTGAATATATTTACTGAGTATATTTATTCATTGAAAGGGACCGCAGAGCAACCAAGAAAGCGCTGATGTTAATAACATGCTTGCAAAATGTAATTTAGAAAGCCAATCACAGCTTGCTTACTGACCCAGTCATGTCGATAAGACTGGCTACTAAATTTGGTGTTCTGTAAAATGGAATTCTTTTCAGTTGTCAGTAGTATTGAAATAATCTGGTTAAGCGCTTTAAAAATAAAGTATTGAATTTTGATACCCGGCCCTAGACAGAAACAGCAGCTGGCTCTTTTTGTTTCTGCCTGTTTCTGTTAGTGTGTTTCTGTTAGTGTCACAAATAGACGGCTCGTACATGTGGGATTTTATCAGTGGAGTCAGAGTGGGGCACAGAAGCAATTTTCTAAACTGAGAGTGGCTTGAAACAAATTATCGATCCGCAATTTTCCAAATGACTCTTGAGATGATATGTTTACTCATAAATGGTTTGATCCTATTTGAGGATGATCTCTTAGATCAGTTCAAGGAGTAATCATCTTCATTTTTGCCTGATTTTAACCCCTCCAAGCACACACTGAAATTCCATGCATATTATCATTAAATATGCATACGTAGGCCAGTACCTAAGTGTACAATGTAATATAAAAGACATATACACAGTATATTGGAACATGTTTTCCACTTTGCACTATTTTCAACTAAGCAATTTAAAATATTTAATGTAAATAAATCAAAACGGATATAACGTATTAACTCTGAGAACATATTTTCTTGAATGAACCTTGTAAAACACTGTAATACCTCAGTTGAATATATGATTGTATGCTTTACTGATGAAAACCTTTCATATACATTTAAGTATAATCATAATTTGTTCTTAAAGGAAGTAATGGCAGGAATGCATATCAGAGCCCACAGGCAAAATGCCCATTTAACCATCTTCCCATAAAACCACTAGAATGAAGCTAGCTGAATAAGAAACATTATCTAACAAGAATGTTCTGTTTGTTGAAAGGCGCAAGGAATGTTTAATTATTTTGTGTGTTTGCTTGTGTGCCTAACCCCTACATGCATAAAAGAACTGTGTGAGTGTCTGTGAGCGAGAGAGCCATGGATGTATTTAAAAGAACATAAAAGCGCTACTCCACCCTCCACTCTTTGCACATTTCAGGATGGTTAAGTGTTTATGAACAATCATATTTTTTTAAATGTAGATAATGCCATGACCAGAGGTCGAACTCGAGTGTTACATCTATAAAATGTTGTCTTAATAAAGATCGATCACTGTGCTTCTCCTCTTGTACTGCTGCAATGTTCATATTTACTCAAAAATGTGAAATGTTTGCCATGTAGGTGCATTTATTTCACCACTTTACCTGAATCTATAAAGGACAAAAATTTTGGTAAATGATTGCTGTGAAAACTTACTTTCTACCACTTTCTTGACCAATAGGGGCCATAAACATCACCAGCTGTTTGCTATCTTAAAAACCAGATTGCATCAATACCATTTTTTTTTTCAGATCAAGTATGACTGTGAGTACATGTTTTTAGTACTCCCCAGTACTGATACCAGGGTTGTAGCACCAAATGTTGGGGCCCTGGCACAGTAGTGTGCCCAGGCCCCCTCCCAAAAAAATGGTGTACTTCATTATGAGGCTGTTTGGTTTGCATTTAAGGGTAAAACAGCTAAAAATCAATAAGTTAAGTTGCGCTTTCACTGTAAAAAAGTGGTATCAGTGACACTCAGAGATGAGCAGCGGTGCGACTGTGGGCGTGGCAAAGCAAGCTATCAGAGCGATGCGAAGAAGTTTAGCCAGATGTTTATGAAGAGCCTGGCCTCTTCCTTTTCCCCCAGTTACATCAAAAACATGACTGCAAAATACCAGAGGGCGCCTGCAAGCAAGCCTCAGTGAATGGGGGTGAATGAAGCTAAATGGCTAAAAATGAAAAGTTAAAATCGTTTCTAATCACTTGCCCAGAATTTTCCTTTAATTTAAAAAAGTAGAAGGATGTATTCCACTAAAAACGCAAAGAAACACCTGTATGTTCTCTTGCTCGATCGAGAGGGCCCTCCACTGTTTGAGAAACCTGGAAGAATTCTCCTTTCTAAAAAAAAAGATGTTCTCAATTCCCAGTTGAAAACGCTGCACTGACCTTAGTTCCAATTAATAGATACCATAATTAATTACCTACTTAGAATTACGTAGTTGTTGGTGTAAATGAGTGCAAAGTACTTTTACAGTTAAATAATTAAAATCTAGCTTATTTTAAATGAAGTGCATTATAGCTGTAAGTAAAGTATGTTTCGTAGTTTTGATCCCAGGCTCCTCATCTGTGTCTTTCAGCAACACTCTAGCACGGTGACAGCAGTAATCACATCCGAAGCTAATCTGAGGAGCTAACATTTTGAGTTTTACGTTTTGTTGGAGTCTTTTTGGCTGACCGAGCTGTAGCTGATTGTCCTCTAAAGCCAGACATACACTGTGTGAATTTAGAGATTTTTTTTTTTTTTAGTGAGTCACACTGTAGGACTAACTACATTTGAGGAGACCATCATGTACAGACAAGGCCTATGATTTAAATGCTCACACTGTATGAAAACACTCCATTCGACTGAAATGCCAAGTGAAACGCAGCCCCTATAGACAGCTCTGCCTACGGACAATTATGAATAAATCTGTTTCATTCAAAACAGCATGCTATGCACCTGCATAACGAGTGAACACACTCAGAAACTCAGTTACAGCAGCTTTGCTAACTTGTACCACACTGTGCACTAAAACTAAAACCAGGCAGTGATATACAAGAGTAGGAAAATACAAGACTCTCAACATCCTATTTTACAAAGATAATAAAAAAAAATCAATAAATCAACATTTATACTTTGCAATTCCATTCAGTCAAACAGAGTAAAGTCGACACATAGAGACTTCACCTCAAATGTGGAGTTTTTGCCTCCGTTTTGCTGGCCTACATTCCTCCACCTGCATTAGGGAAGTGATTGTGATTGTGTTTGTGTGTTTTTAAAAATGAGCTAAAATGGCACAGCGTATTCCTGGAAGTAATTAGCCAAGGCAGAACATTTCAAGTGACCAACAACTTTGTGTCCAACTATGGCGTCAGCAACACTACTCTGTGCGAGCAGACCCTCGTTCACCGCCAGCTTGAGTTGTTTGTTTATTAGCGTACACTCAACTAGGTATCAGCTGGTATCTGATGTTAGTATTGTGTATTTTTTATGATTTTTTTAAGAATTGGTATCGTTGCATCTCTTTGGTGTCAAATGCTATTTAAAGAAAAATGCTAGAAATCAGTCAGTAAACTTGTGACTGTTTTGACAGAAACAATTGCAAAGGAATTTTGAAGTTTGCCTGCGGCAATTCTCTCGTAACATTG